CGGGCCCAGGACAAGGTGGCTGCAGGCTGTGCCAGGGATGCCCTGGAGGGCAGTAGTATCCGTAGGTTTTGATTCCAGCTCTGCTTTTCACTACCTAACCGGGCCGATCCTTCCCTGAACTGGGTGGATTCAACGCTTTTTGATGATTTCAAGCCTTCAAAGCCTGGATTTGTGCACTTGGGGTTAATGCAGACATTGGCGATTTGTGCAAGCCATGGTGGGGAAAAAAACAAACACTTAGGTCTGCTAAATCATTGCTAGCAAATTGTTTTACAGTCCTTCTTTAAGTAGAAACTTCTTAACTGAATCTGGGACACTGACAATCTGGAGGAGTAAGGCTACTGGAGCTGTAACAACTATATTCACAAAAAGTAAATGAACCGTTATACCTAATTAAAGTGTATATGTAGAAACAGGACTGGATGACTTTTTCCAACGTCTTCTTTAAAGAGAAGGGGCATGGGGTAAGAAGAACTGTTCCTTTGGATGCATGGAGGATCCTTCTCCTGTCAGAAAGCAGAGCAGCTTCAGCAGCTGACTGAGATTGTGCAATTACACTCACGATAAAAGCCCCAACTGTATTTTATAGAAGTGCAGGGAGGGGGTATATCCACAAGAAATAAAAGTCAAATATACGCCTGGCCTTCTACTCACGCAATTTCATATTTCTACAGAGCATTCTTTTGGACGCAAGGAATGGAATGACTCCAGAGCAGGGAGAGAAATCTAAAGGACTGGAAAAAAAAAAGGCTCAATAACAAGATATGTGTACCAAAGGCTAGGCAGAAGGCTTCTTCTTGACAAGCGAGGAAGACAGAAGATAAAATATTCCGCTGAGCTTGTGAAGTTGGTGTGCGTGTCTCGAAGGGAGAATATACAACTGGATGTAAATACATTTTACATTAACTACCTGGCTTGGGGAAGCGCAGCCAGGAGGCCTCTCTCTCCCGCCCTCCAGGGCTTTGATATAAACAGTGGAGCAAACAAAGCCTCTCCACTGGGCTGATGAATTGATTCAGGGCCTTCTGGTCACAGGCAGCCCGGTTTCCATAGTGAAAGCATGGCTCAGAGTCACCTGTGCAGACAGCAGTGTCAGAAGCGCCCTCTGGGGGCTACAAGAGGCTAATTACCATCATTAGGAGCTTATTGAACCAAAGATCAGGAGGTCACCTACCCCCCCAATCACATTCACCCCACCACCACCATCAACACTCCAATCAATGCACAGGTCTCCTCCACCAGGCTCAGCTAATAAACACATGTAAAATCAATTCACAGCTGAAAGAAGGTTTTCCAGCTTAGGTTATAAAGTTCACTTCCTAGCATTTTCAATCTCTCCCTGACATTTTTATGAAGAAACAAAACAGTACTTCTGAACACCCACTGCTGCTGCTTCCCATGAACGCCGATTTCCTTCAATCACCAGCTCTTATTGGGTGAGGCACGTGAAGGGACTGGACTTTTTCAAACCCCCGTGCTAAACCTTCATCCCACGCTGCCCCCGGCCAGGCGCAGTACCTGTTCTGGAAGGTGTGCAGGCCCATGGGCACGCACTGCACCCTCCACTGCCCGCTCTGGTCCGGGTAGAGCACGAACTTGATGAGCGGCTCCACCGCCAGCTCCTTCTCCAGGCTGAAGAGGTGCTCCTTCCAGGGGCAGCCGCCTTGGTCCAGGACCACCACCTCCCCGCTGGGGTCCACCTGCAAAGAGGGCCAGCCGTCAGAACCGCCTCCCTCCCCCGCGGTCCATCCGAGCGCTCCTGCTGTTCATGCTCATGTGAAGCAGCACAGGGTCCTGTCCTGGTAGCAGAGGGCTGATGTGTCTGCAGGTTCTCCTTTCCAAGCATTAGCTCTTCAGTGACAAATGGCACATAGTGGGGCTCAACCAGAATAGTTTACAAACCTCCAAAACCTGCGGTACTGAAGAAACCTGGGCACCTGCAGGCACACAGGCCCTCCAAGAGCAGAAGTTGAGATCCTCTAATTCATGGCTGTGGTGGCAATGGACTTCCTCAGCATCGCTGGGCACCTTTGCTCCTGTCCTCCACCTCCCTTTGTAAAGCTGTGGTTCCTGTTCCTAAATGCCTCACTTTCAGATTACATGCCTGTATACGGGTGGTACTGCACAGCCTATGTGCCATCATACAAAACTGTACATGACAGTGTCAGATGGGCACAGGATTTTGGGAGAAGGGCAGGTCATTTTATCTCCAGAGCTGAATAATCAGATGTGCTTATGTAGGTGCTGATCTCTTCCCTTGTGACCAGGTATAAGAGATTGAATCACAGCTGGACAGCAGGCTGTTGTGCATCTAAAGCCATTGGGCTTTACTTTCCCCATGAGGGCAAAGCGTTGAGCTTAGGAGTCTGTTAACAGGGTAAATCTGGAAATACAGTGTTTGAGATGCTCCTCCTCTTTCTGAGGAGGCGGATTCCAAACTCCTTCCACATGGGCTAAGTGTCTGGAAGCAGTCTGAGACAGTGCCCGTCCTGACTGCGATGCAAGACACAATGGGAATGCAGCGGGGAACTGGGAAGCATTGCCGCATCCGCGGAATATCCTCCACAGCAGCAGTACCTGAGCCCGGGATTTAACAGCCTCTTCCACCAGAGTGCGAGCCGGCAGCCAGGAATGGTAATAATAGTCTAGGCGGTCCAGGAATTCAGCTCCTACCATCTTCATTGCCTTCCGGAACCCTTCCTGCGGACACGTACATGCAATCAAAAAACACAGAAAAATCAATCAAATAAAACGAAAGCTGGACTCTCATCCTCACCTATTGACCTAAAACCACTGTGAAACCAGAACTACAGATACAGAAGTCTTACTCCAAAAATCCCTAATCTACGCTGCCTGTGAAGCATATTTAGAGCATAAGCCACTTTACTTGTGGACCTATATTTATACCGTTTCTATATTAAATTGACACTTTTTAAACCCACTGCAATTTGCAAAAGCTGTGCCTAAACCACGCATCGAGAACCCCTGCCGCAGGCTGCCGCCATGCCTGGCTGACTCTCTGGTCACAGGGCGCCAGGCTTCTGCAAGGAAGCTGGGCCATTTCCCGCTGATTGAGAAACGAATGGCTCTCCCGGCTGCGCGTCAGCTCCACGGTTCCCCGGGATGGAAACTCGGTGAGTGATGGGGCTGGGATGGGAAGCGCCACTTCTTGATTGGAGATGCGACGCGACGGCTGGGGACTGACAGCTGAATCGCTTTCTTCTAAGCGCAATTCGACGCCAGCCCCCCCCCCTCCGTGGGGAGAGCAGCGCTGGCACAAAGCGGCGTTACACTCGCACGTGCACGCCGGACCCAAGGGCTGGGGTCCTTCTCCAGCACCTGCGTCTGGCGGAGGGGGGGTGGGGATAGGTTATAAGCTACAGGAAGAAAAGACACTCTCACTGCTCAGAGGATTCTGAGCCGAGTCAGCCCCTCCCAAACTGCAGGCTCCTGCAGGTGAAGAGAAGGCAGAGCCCAGGCGTCTGGAGGGGGAGCAAACCTGCCAGGACGTGAGGCTGCAATTAACAGCGAACTGCAAGTGAATTTGATTTTCGGCATTAAAAATGGATCAAATCCCTGGGTGATACAAGCCCTGCATGGAAAAGGCATGGCTAGCGCAGTCCAGCAAAACCATAACACTGCAGGAAAATACAACTTCACGTGCATATGGCATTCACCAGTGAGAAGGTACAGTAAATGTATCATAGGCAGCACGCAGCAATCCAAACAAGAGCAAAATCATCGTTTAGCATGATACACTGCAGTTGGAAATAGGTCACGGAGAAGCTGGATGTGACTGCTGTGATGCGCAGCACGGCTCACTGCGTTCTGCAGGGGGTGGGGGAGAGCGTTATGCTGCTGGGACTGGCTCTGGCTCTCTGTCTGCCTCTCCATCAGTGCGAAATCAGCGGGGTGCAAAATTAACAGAACGAAAATAAATGACCGTTTCAGAACCTATTTAAATACCAAGCCCCCCCCCCACCACCACCATCAACAACAACAACAAAAACAACAATAATAGTTTAAATGTGGGCAGTATTTTTTGCATGATGTGTTGCTTCATTTTAAGCCAGGAGAGTGAAATGTACTAGAAAATAAAACATTTGAAGTGCAGGGGCCATTATGTCTCAAATTGAATTTTCCATTATCACACAAAGCAGTGGGTCTGCTCTACCAGTGTCAAGCAGTAAAAGCAATGTTCTGTGCTGCTTTCAGTTGTACCTTGCCTCATTAAGGGTGCAGAGCACTGCTAGACCGGTCGCAAGCTCAGTATATCCGTCTCCTGTGTTTCCACATGGAGACAAAGCATGTTTATCCATTGTCTCTAACTACCCCTAGACTGCAATGGGCTCAGGAAATGTTTTGTGTACAAAAAAAGCACCTGACACAGCTTTGGTTTTGCCCAATATATATACTCATGCAGTTAGGGGACAAAGCACAATTAACTTCCTATAAACTGAACGGGAAACGGTATAGAGAAGGGCTGACATTTAGGATGCTTTGCCAGGTCATGCCAAGTTCAATAAACTAGATACTGCAAGACTGATAGTTGTTAGAAGTCTGATTTCCTATGGATTTGCTATAAAGCTTATGGTGCTTTTCTGATTCAAGCTCTTAGGCCTCTTCAGGACAAAAGAACATCCAGACATTTCTTGAACAGAAGCAGAGATATTAACTTCAACAGCTTGGTGGGATGGCTAGTTCCAGACACCCACAACCCCTTAGTGTAAGGAAGTATCGCCTGGCTGTCATGCAGAAAATCTAAAGCAGACCAAAAAGATTTTTCTGTTCCAAGCAAATCTTTCTTATGCAAATGTTTTGTATGCGCTCCTTCACCATCAGAATAGAGTGAAGTCTGATCTGGGAGAGAGCAAGTCCAGTGAAATACTGTAAAAGCACCCTCTTGACCCCAGTACGTCACCTCTTCGCTGGAAATTTTCTTGCCCAAAAAGTGACACCACGCTGTCCTAGAGTCAGCACCTCGAATGGTGAATGCTAGCCACCTTTGAGAAAATCCCAGGCCAGACGCCAGTAATGCTCAGTTAGCATTCCTGTCAGAACCACACATTCAGCTGATGAAGCCTATACGTTTCATGGCTCTGATAAGCAGATTTTCCCTTAAAGTAATGGCTTCTGGCCAAACCGCTTTTAACGAGCAGTCTTATTTTATTTTCTTCCCCAAACCCAGAGATCTGAAAGGGATTTGAGAATAATCCAGAGTGTCACCACTTACGCTAATTGAGACCACTTTTAGGTTTCAAATTGTGCTCCCAGTACCCCCAGGCCTGTCTCTACTTATTTGATTGGCATTAATACATCACTCAGGCATGGAGGGATAATTAGAGTACTTCCTCTCTGGGGAAAAGCCCGCTAGTGAAGCACAACAGGCAAGGGACTGATGACAAATGAACCTGGAATGATTAGGAGCGAAGTAGCGCATGTTACCCTTCGCTATTCGTTTTGACTCTGTTAAGTAGAAATTAAAGAGTTAATTTTTGTGGGTGCACAGAGATTCAAACACTAATGTGTCTTAGAGAGGAATTCTGCTTGTATTTTGGACAATTGGAATTAAACTGTTTCTATATTCACTCACCCACTACTAAATACTGTATGCACACATCAGCACAGAATATAAAGAACTTGTTATTCTTTGCAGCATTCTGAGTATCAATGATGTAGAAATCTTTTGGTGAAGATTTAGTACAACGGAAGTTATTTGCTTTCTAAAACTTTAAACTTGGCACTTGACACGAAAACGTGTTGGGGTTTCCACAGGGCAAATCTATAACTCCTTACTAGCCATCTTCCTTTGTTGTTAAGTTTTTCATGCTCACAATATTGTTTTGGTGAAATTCGTGCACTTACTCCGTCAAGTAATCGGGCAAACTGCGAATGTACAAAATACCAGGAAGGAGCGTCCAGGACTCCGAGCAGTGAAAGAGTTAAGGAACTGATAATGAACTGCCTCTATAACTGTCAACAGGCTCCTGTGATCGTGTACTGCTGTTTCTTGGAATTGGTCTTGTTTCCAAGTGAGCTGTAATAAATGAGGCCCTACTTCATCCATATTGCATGGTCCATGCAGTACATTAAGATATGCCTGGAGGGCACCCTACAACAACCACACGTCAAGACTGATTCTCCCTGAGGAATGTACGAGAGCAGAGCTGATGAACGAGAGATTTTTAGGGCTGCACAACATTTTCATAAAGCTCTGCAGGGTCACTGTTTAAACATGCACCGATGAAGACGTTTTTTGTAAATCAGTCTGGTTTAAATGTCATTGAATCCGACGCCAGGAAGGCATTCTTACAAAATTGCATTTTTTTTTGCCAAATCTCATGACACTGAGATGTCAGTCAGATACATGTTATTGAATCCCTCTTCACAGGAGCAATGACAGCAGGTACCCTAACAGGCAGCCCACCTCCGTGTCCTGATTCTCGTCATTCCAGCGGCAGTTGAGGTATCCGACGCGGGCGCTCAGATTGGTCGTCATGGCATAGCGTGGCTCGCCGTCGTACTGCGAGATCCCGTTATCGATGGCGTCGATCTCCTCCACAAAATTCTCGTAGAGCTACGGCAGAGACAGAGTGATGGCCAACATGAGTCCAGAGATGACGCCTCTGCCAAGCGAAAAGGTGGCTCACTGAGTCACTGTCAGCAGCCCTCATTACTAGCCCTGCTTCTTTGCTGCACATTTCAACTTACACATCACCACGGCAAACAAAACAGTTTGTCCCTCTTATTGGAAGCTCAGCAGTTTCTGGATTCAGTTTTAAAGAGTAATGTATTATTGCTATTTCCCAATGGTTTTCAATGGTTCTTTTTACAAATAAATCTGTTAAGCGTAAACAAACAAATTGAATCGGGTCTTACAGAAGTCAGGACTGACCCTATTGCTACAAAGCAGCAAAATTACTCTTATAGTGATTTTTTTGGTGCATGATGCCAGGCTGTTCTAGCACATGATAACACAGCTAAAAAAAAAACTGTCCTGAGCCTGCAGCTCTAATTCACTTGACTCATCTGAAAAACAAGAGTGAGTTGCAGATGGATGATTGACACGTTCAGAGCAAAACAGCCAGCACTGCTAAGACTTCAGTGGCACACAAGCCAGCATTCCTGTCCCTGCAATATCAAAGTTGCAAAGTTACCTCAGGCTATTGTCCGCAACTACACTGGTTGCAACTCCCATAAGATTCTTGCCATTTCCAGCATGATGAAAAAAGCCGTTCTTATTCGAAATGTGTCCAGCATCGCAGTTTGAATTCATCATCCAAGGCCGGTTCATTTTATACAGTAGGGTCCTGTATGTTTTTATAAATATATATGTTTTCTTCAGAGGTTGAACAAGAAGAGACTGATAAAATAATCTCATCACCCCCTCCCCTCCACCCACCCATTTGCTGGCAGGGTAAAACAAAGCAGGCAGTCCTCTGACTCTCTCACCTTGTCGTACAGCACCTCAAGGTGGGGCGCCCCCTCTGGCTGCTTGGTGAGCTGCGCCAGGATGCGGTGGCCGAAGTGCAGGTACACCAGCCCGGCGCTGCTCAGCTTTGTCACCCAGCTCTTCTCGGGCCGCAGGCTGCTGAACGACTCACTGAAAGTCCTGTGAAGACAGAAGGGAGACCCCGACCATCATCGGGCGGCCCCTTGCCATTTCCACGTTGAACACTTACCCCAGCTCGACCGCAAAGCGATGATGCATCTGCACTGCTTTACCCCTGTTCATTGTCTAGGGTTACTGCAGGTCTCTGGACACTTTAACAGTGTTCCCACATGCTCTCTCACTCTAGGTGGCAAAACACAGGCACTTGCCTGTCATTAATTGTAAGATCATGAGGTTACAAATGAGAGGAGGCCATTTGACCCACTGGGCAATGTTCCCTCTAAGCTGTGGCTTGTGTGCGCGCACACACACACAGTTATGAAATCAGCGCACATCGGAAATTGAACTGTGCACAAAAAATTTAATTGCCCCAAAAATATAATAATAAAACAAACAAGGTCATCAATTGAAAAGTGCTAAATTGACCACATGAGACTGGCTGCGAGAGGCCCAACTTGGCTGAGTGGAGTATTATTGCACCTCGATAATCAATATCAATGCTCTCGTAGTCTCGTACCTCACTGCTCAAGCTCGCTCAACACTCAGTCTCCATGACTGGGCTCGCTGAATCACTGTCCCGGTCTTTTGGATCTCTATGCTTCCATGAGAATGACTATATTAACCAAAAATAATTTCAGGTTTATAATTTTACATACACTCAATTTAGTGCGCACAAGTTTTTGTCACTGGGGAAAAAAAACTGCACAACTTGAAATTTTGGTGCATACAGGCCATTAAAAATTAGAGGGAACATTGCCACTGAGCTGGGTTGATTGCTAGTAGCTTGTTGATTAGAGGTATTTCTCACTCAGCCAGAGAAATGGCTTCAACAGCGGGGCCAGACAGTGTGGCTAGCTTCTTCCAGACACCCACCACCCTCTGTGTAAAGAAGCGCCTCCTGTTCTCATTGGAATTTCCACCTGTTCCTTCATGTGCTTGGCTCAGAACCCATCTTGCTCATTTGGCGGCTATGTAGCAAAGGGAAACTCAAATTCCCTATGGCCACGTTTAAGAAGCACCCAGCGTTTGGCTTCAAACACCTGACTGGGCCACACTCTGTGTAAAAATCTCTGCTTAAACAAATTCCCTTTTAGTTTTGATTGGCGAGTCTACATCTTTGCTTCACTGCTGAATGTGAAATAGCTCTCTGGGTTGATTTCAAGTCTGCACTTCAGACTGAACTTCTGCACTTCAGAACAGTGTCTGTTCTGGCAATGTCGTCTCAAGACAGGAATCACATTTGTATGAGTTGTAAGGTATCAGTTTGAAGAAAGGTCTAGTTAAAGAAGAATGGGCGAATTCTGATGTTTCAATAATCTACATGAAGACAACAAATCGCATATCATCTGATCTCAAAGCTCGTATTGTGATATTTAAATTAATTGTTCTTGGAAAAATGTTTCTAATATTTATAACTAGATTTTCAAAACAATTAGCTTGAATTTGGACTTTTCTTTAATTAAATGGCTCAAACCTCTTTTAGCCTAGAGGAACATTTTCTTTTTTTGAGTAATTTGCACAGCAAATAATCTCATTAGCAACAACAGAGATTTGTGAGGCGCAAACATAATTGGAAATGCAATGAGCTAAAGATTTGTTATAACTTCCACAAATCCAATTTACTGAAGATGTGCAGCAAAGCCTTAAGCCACATGGCAGAAGGAGCTTAGAATTCATTTTTTGTATTAATCTAATTTTTCCAAAAAATACCACTGCGATCTACATCGTGTGTTTGAACCTACCACTCACGAACTAGTGAGATAATACCGCAGGAAAGAAACGTACACAGACATCTTGGTAAATCCATAGTTCTCATTAGTTAGAAGTTAAGAAATGTCATTATTTTTCCTTTGTAGCAGGTACTGTCAATGCATATGTTCCTACTTGTGATACTGCATTACAAACTGGACTCGCATACATTGCAAATGACTTGCCTAAAATAATCAGTTTGCACTGTGAAGTATCACGATGAGGAAACTGTAATATGCTCCATTCATTAAATAAAGTGATCCAATGGAACAAGAAATACACGTCAGTCTTTCCCTCTGTATATCCTTGTTTGCCACCTTCTGTGCCCCACAGCTGGCTGACTCATCAAGCCTTGTTCTGCCTCTGTGATCTCCTGTGCCCACATCCTTGCCCTCACACAGTTTTTGACAAGCAGCTTCCCACGGGCATTGAAACTGCTCCACCTCTCCTCCCCTCCCACCCCCTCTCCAGACCACACCAGCGCATGTATCCGTATCAGCTGCTGAGCACTACACCACTGTCCCCTTTCAGTGCACATGCCGCACTGCATTCCGGGTAATTGTTTCCACACAGATTCCTGGACAATGTTATTTCTTCTGTTGTACCAAGTAAAGCACCAAAATTTCTATCTGTATCTAACCTGCATCTGTATGTAACCGCCTGGATATACGCACTATTTTTTTTACCCCTTTGTGTATAGTGCCGTGTGACATTTAAATGAACAGGAGTAAAATGAGTATGTACAGTGTAATCTGGTGTGTACGTAATCAAGCGTGGACGAGTGTGAAATTGAACTGTTGCTTGCAACTGTAAAAGGGACTTGCACAGAAGATATATATATACAGTGTATAGTATGGCTTTCGATGTCTATTCAGAAAGAGAGAGTGAAAATCAAGAACTTTCCTTAAAAAGAATCCAAGTTCCACCACCTCCCAATGATCATCTAATTTATTTATTTTTAAAACTTCTTTGGCTATTCGCAAACCTTCACAACCCTTTGCCTGCCAAATTTATTTGTTTTTTCTCAGCTCTTAATCATACACGATTTGAAATTACCTGTAAACTCTGGCATGCAAGGACTGGACTATGTGCTCATAATCTATATTCTAGGCCCTGCTCTGTTTATGTAAACTGCTCTGACAATTGTTGCATCGTGTAAAATTACATTACAATGGCACTGCTTTGTAAGTTTTGTACACTGTTGAGTTGCCCTGGCTCCGGAAGTCAGCCAAACACATACACAGCACTGATAGTACTCTCAAAACATTACACTGCAGCCTTTAATTTCCCCCAATTCAGCTGCCAAGCTATTAAAACAAAGGGCTGTGTGGCTCTTAGATAAGACATTTAATGAAATTACTACGCGAGCTTCGAGGAAGATTATTAATACAATACAGCAGCACTCTCACTCATCTTCATCTAAAATCGCAGGCGGTGTGACTGGAATATTTATCCCCTGCCGAAACCCTGGGGAGGATAATTAATTGTTGGTGTGCTAGGGGATAGTCATAGCGATTGGGAGACTAATTGCATAATTCCTCAGATCCGAGATGTCTTTAGATATAGCCGTCTCAACTGGAGAAGAGAGAGGGGTCACATCCAGATATTCACTCCCTGCTTTGCCTGCCGCATCTGCGAGGCTGATCTGTGGTGCAGTACGGCTTCGTCTGTAGTCGGCTCATCAGACGGCAGACAGGAAGAGAAAAGGGGGGAGGGGGTTTTGGCGTTCTCCTACGTGGCTCGGGGGGGAGCGCAGCATAGCACAGTGGACGTGTCTGTGGACTCAACACTGGTGGGTTGCGGGTTGTCCCTGCAGGTGCTATTCAGGTGCTTTACCCCAGTTAGCCCAGCCCACCCATCCGTATGAACTGGGACCAGTATTTGGTGAGGGGTTCTAAGATGGGCTCAAGGGAGGAGGTCACAAGACCTCTGATCACTTAACGTTATGGAAACCAGGAGAAGCTCTGGTTTGATGAGCCGTTGTGACACAAACATGGAAATTTCCTACCCCCAGGGCTGGGAATTAGAGTGCCACTGCACAGGGACTTTTCCAAGCAATTTAAGTTGTCCCCTAGCTGCAGGCTTTTGTATTTTTGCCAAGGCCAGGAAACAAAGAGATTTCACGCTTCTGACATGTGACTCAACTTGCAGACCTAAGGCAAGCCAAAATGAAGATGCATTCGCAAGTACACCCCTCCTAATGCCATGCGTGTGTCCCAGAGAAGCACAACAGAAAAAAACCCAACATAAAGCAGGTGTGTGGGCAACCAGGACCTGGGTTATACAGTTCATCCCACCATACGTGAATTGTGCAGCAGTGCGTGGCTCCCAGGTAAGGAGTGGTCATGGTTAACCAAGTGTACAGGTACAGATTACTTCTGTTTCATTTTCACTCTTGGTTAAGTCACACACTGTGGATTTTGTTTCACCTACCACCTATATGTTAAAGCAGGCTCTGCCACGGTGTATGTTATCCCAACCCAACCCCACACCAAAATATAAAACCAAACCGAACCTCATAATGTCAAAGAATAAACCTGACTTTAGTGGTGGTTTCCAGGAGGAGGTATGTAAGGGTGTGACAAAGTCTTGGGTGTCTGGTGATCTGCACACACCCCGAACACGTCTGGTGTTAGCGTTGCCATCATGCTTTATTGTAACAGCCTTCTGCAATGTTTCTGCGAATCTAATCTTACCGTCTTTAAAAAAACGGGAAAAAAACCCACAGGCCTGCAAGCTGACGAGCAGCTGTGTAAGGGTAAATACATTTCCGCTACATCCCGCTGAAAAGGATAACAGCAGTTTGTGACCCTTTTGAAAAATCACTGGAAAAAAAAAAAAGAGAACTAAGTGCACCCCTGCAGAGTCCAGTAAAATCCCCCCATTTGGCAGATCTGAAAGCTCCAGAGGGCTTGTGTTTACAGTCTCGGTGCTCTTGATCTGTTAAGAGGGTTGATAATATTCCTCCTCTTTTGCTTCATTATACAGGGATGCTGGGAGGAGCTTTCACCAAAACTGGCCTCGCTTGGCCTCGGTCACAGCTGTCTATGCTGCGATCCATGCCTGACCATGGGCCAGCTTTGCCAGGTGTGACTGGCACATGTTCTCCTTTGTGAAATAAATCCCGTCAGCTCTACCTCATTAACAAGGAACCATGATACTTATTTACCAGCCCAGTGCCCTGGGGAAGGGGCAGACTGCAGAGAAAAGCTGTGTGGAGCTCCGATATGATGAAGGGATTTACAATTTACCATTAAACAAGGATATATTGACAAACTGATTTTTTTCCTTAAATACCCAAAATAATTTCTATTTACCAACACACGCAATGGTGCACAAAGTACATAAAAAAATAAGAATCAATGTACATGAAATAAGTGGACACCTAGTTTATACAACACATTTAAGAGGGAGTTAGCATTAGATGGATAAACAATTAGGTACCAAGTAACAAAGGACTGAGTTTGGACAGCTCTGCTCACTATAATGGATAGAAGATTGAATCATGAAGATTTAATCACGCTTTAAGTTTGAATGACAAGAGAATACAGACCAACCCACAAGGTTTGCCTTCTTAAGACTGATATTCTTTTTCCCCAATATTCTTTCAATAGTTTTTAACTGCTGCATTTACTCGCTGCAAAAAGTGCAGCAAAAATGGACTTGAGCCTGGAATACATGAAAAAGACATAGTGCAGAACTGAAATGAAGGGAAGGAGTGTTGAAGGGAGAGGGTGGTGTGATGGCACAGTGGTTACCATTGTTACCTTGCAGAGCTGGAGCCCTGGGTTCAATTCCTGAGGTGGTGTCTGTGTGGAGTTTGTATGTTCTCATGTTCGTGTGGGTATGCTCCAGATGCTCCGGTTTCCTCCCACCATCCAGGAACATAGTGGTAAGTTTGTGGGAAAACTGGCCCTGCTGCAAGAGTGCTTGTCTGTGTGTGTCCTCTGATGGACTGGCGTCCTGTCGGGGATGTGCCCCTCGTTAAGAATATTGTGTATAGCTTTGTAGCTCAAATTATCCACAAAGCTCCAAGGGATTGACAACCGAAATCATTAACATTAATGTTAAAAACACGAACCGGAAGACTGAAGTAGAAACTACCAGAAAGTCCATATAAAATGGGATCGGGAGGCACTTTTCCCACACACCAACAGCTGTGGGAATCTTCAAGAAGCTACCCAGACATGTGATCGAAATTAATACCCTGACTTCTGTCATGAAGCAGTTAGATGAGACCCGTGGCAGATACTAACATCCGGTGTGTGTGTCCTGCTGTGTTCGTGCATCACAGACCCTAATACCAACATCCAGTGTGTGTGGCACAGACCCCAATACTAACATCCGGTGTGTGTTTGTGGCTGTGTGTGTGTGTCACAGACCCTAATACCAACATCCGGTGTGTGAGACGCAGACCCTAATATTAACACCTGGTGCGTGAGACACAGACCCTAATCCGGCGTTATGTCCTTTCTGTAAACCCAGTACCAACATCCAGCGACTGGGTCTATAACCTGCCCTCCACTGTACACTGCAGGGGGGTACAGCATAGCAGCAGTTAGGACTCTGGACTTGTAATTCAAAAGATGCAGTTTCAAGTAGTGCTGGGCGATAATTCGATAACGATAATTATCGCGATATTATTTTCCTCGATATAATTTTAACAAAAGTTCGATAAATGTTTGATATAATGTTTCTGCTGTTTGGCAAGTGTTTGTTGTGTTCTTAAAATAAAGAGTTGTTTAATTTACCAATTAACTGTCTGGTTTCTTCAACTTTCACTCAGGAGAAAACATCTGCCTTTAAACTTGAAAGAAATAATGACTTGACATTTATCGTGATAATTATTGATATCGACTGATATGTAAATTATCGTGATAATTGTTTTTGGCCATATCACCCAGCCCTAGTTTCAAGTCCCTATTGCAGTTACTGTTGTACCTTTGAACAAGGTATTTTTCCCCAGTCGCTCCGGTTTGTACCCAGCTGTACGAACGGTTTCCAGCATTGCTGGGGTTAACACTGCAGGGGCAAGGGGGGAGTTGCACACTCCTTATCTGATGCTAAGGGATCCAGGATTAGCTCCAGTGAGCCTCCAGGCTTGTGTGTGGACTTCTCTGCTCTACAACAACTCGCCACCCTTTTCTTCTCACCCCACAGTCAAGTGTAGCCATTTTCAAGCCAGTCCCTGAAGATACTAAAACGTCAAAAAAAAAAAATTAAACGTATTTTATATAGCACTTTCAAAAGTGGATTCTCAAAGTGCTTTACAGTAAGAAATAAAAGCACACAAGAAAAGGAAACAGCAAACTTACACAATTACAATCAGGGTTTGGAATACAGTAGGAAAGGGGCAGACAGGAGCAGTGAAATACAGGCCCTTCTAAAGAAGAAGGTTTTGAGACTTCATCTGAAGGAGCTCAGGGAAGGTGACTCTGATATCTTTAGGGATAGAGCTCCAAAGCTCTGGGAAATAGCAGGAGAAGGTCCTGTCATCCATAAAATGTCGACGGGCTTGGAGGACAGATAGGAGACCAGAATTAGAAGAGCGAAGGTTGCGAGGTGGGGAGTAGGACGGCAGTAAGTCAGACAGGTACTGAGGTGCCAAGCCATCTAGACCTTTATAGGTAAACCTGATGGGAGCCACTGTAAAGGCTCCAGGCTAGGAGTCATTTTGCACCAGACCCGGTCAGGAGTCTGTCTACGACTTCTGGACACCAGCAAATAGGGCATTATGGAAATCAATTCAGGAGTCAGACAAAAGTGTTGACCAGCTTTTCAGCAACAGTTAATATCACAGGACTCGTCTAGTGTCTAGTGATATTTCTGAGGTGGAAGAACAATGTTCTTACAATATTTTGCACACCTGGATCAAATATCACCCCCAAGTTTTTCAATTTAGATCCAAATTCAAGTACAGTGCCACCCACAGATAGGAGTACTACATGGGAGTTGCTGAGAAGCATGACTTCAGTCTTGTTGCAGTTTAAATAAAGCACTAATGAGCATGTGCTTTATTAAGCTAATCTAAATAATCATTTAGACCATGTGATCTCAATAGCTACCAAGTGGGAACATGTAAATGCTGAAATGATGCTTCCCCCGCTACTTAGCGCAGAGCCACAGCTCACTGCTTCGCCTCACAGCCCCCACCTTGCCCCCAGTGACAACCCCAGCTCATACCTCTGGTGGTGGTCATAGCGATGCCTTTTGGGGTCAAACTCTGCACCAACATCCACCACGACATCACACTCTGCCAGCTGGGCAGGGTCCCGGGTCCGAATTATTTCAGCGTCCTGAAGAACAAAACATGCTGTTCAACTGGCTAAGAGTAAAACATAACAGAAGGAGAGGAAGAAATGGCCTTTTTTAGCTGCCTTGAACTGGCTCTGTGTATTTCAGAATGCAAGTCAACATATTTCTGCTCACCTTTAAGGGATTCAATGCTTTGGCTCTTGAATACATGATTTGAAGCTCTACAATATAATAATAATCCTTACACTTAATATAGCGCTATTCTAGACACTATTACGATTGGTAAAGGCCAAGGAAATACTGCCAGGTATATAGCCGGGGTTGACACCTCCACTCTTTTTGAGAGATGCCCTGAGATTTTTAATAACCAAGGAGATTTAGGACCTTGGTTTTACTTCTCATCTGAAGGACAGCACCTTTCTACAGTATAGTGTCCCCATTACTATACAGGGGCATTAGAACCATCACAGACCGTAGGATGAATGCTCCCTACTGGCCCCACGAACACCTCTTCCAGCAGCAACCTTAGTTGCTGATAATATTCTACAGATAATAGAATATATCTGTTAACAGTGTGTAGTTCAGGTGGATGGCTGCGTCTGCATGCGTAGGCTGCAATGGCACAAGTAAAGGTTTATTCCGTGCTGAAAAGAGAAGAAAGGAAACAACGTTTCGGTTGTGGAGCCTTCTTCGGGTGTCTTCTTCGATTCCTCGAAAATTGTTGTAGAAGTCTCTGAGTGTTACTCTGGGTTGTGTCAGAGTCAAAGGAAAAAGTGTTAAATTTCAGGCAAAATCCTTTGGGATTGACATTATAATGACAGCATCTGTAAAGGAATAGCAGGAGGTGGTTAGAAATCCTGGTCTTGGAACAGATCGCTGTGAAGAGACGGAATGCTGATTTCGTAAGAGAGGGGGGCAGGTAGCCCAGGGAGGAAGAGAAGGAACAACAGGAGATCTCGAAAAATATTTAGAGGAAGGCACAGTAGGTCGCAGCAGAAGCAGTTCAGGTGGGCAGCTGCGTCAGCATGCGGAAGCTGCAAAGGAACATGTGAAAGTTTATTCCATGCTGAAAAGGGAAGAAAGGAAAGGAGGTGTGGCACCCGTAGAAGGCTCCACAGCCGAAACGTTGCGTTTCCTTTCTTCTCTTTTCAGCATGGAATAAACCTATTACTTATTCACAGTGTGGTTTTTTGGACTTTCTTTCAGTCCCCCTCATGTCAGGACCCTGTGTTTTTTCGAGTCTGAAACGTGATCATTAGATTAGTGGCCGCCACATTACAGCAGCAGCACATTTTGTTTTTAGACTGGATGTATACCTTTTTGGGGGCGAAAAATGTTTTTGCACCATTGGAACGGAAAATGTACTATTTGACTGCAGTGAGAAACCTGCAGGGAAGGGTTAACGAGTTCCACTGCACTAGGAAATAAAAACTCCGCGTTCGGCGTTTTTCCTCACAGTTTGTCCTGTGAAAAAAAGGAGTAAACATATCGGAGAGCCAGAGGTGGCTGGCAGGCCTGTGGTTCTTGACTGCAGTCTCCGCGGGACACCACCGCAGGCGGCAAAACAAACACCGCGACAGAACAGCAGTCAGACGTGACAGGCCTAGATCAGACCCCCCAACCTAAAATACCAAAATAAAAAAAAAAATCACTACACAGCTCTATTTGAGTATTATTTACCTGAATAAAACACACAAGTAGTCAACTCTAGATCCCCGAGCTCTGCGGCTCTCCGGACAGAAACCTCTTGTACGGAAACCAATCACGCCGAGTACCGTACCCATTACAACACACCGTCTCCCGTTATTTGACTGCGATAGGGCAAGAACCCATTCGTTGCTCTACTGCGTTCAAATCTGAATTGACCTAAAAAAAATGTGATTCACAGACGAAAGCGACTGTCCACCATCACTGCATGTCAGGTGGTCCTGTGACATGTCATGGCCTTGCCTTCAGTAGCTAAGGTTTTTAGTTGTTTTTTTTTATTTCTTCCTTCCAACATATAATAATAATAAACTTTATTTTATGTAGCACCTTTAAAGGTGGCTTTTCAAAGCGCTTTACAGGATGACAACAACAATAAATAAAAAGAATACACAAGATATGACACAATTACAATACATAAAGGAGACCGTGGATGGCAGTACTAAGAAAAGCAGAGGGGTGAAGAATGGAACAAGTTAAGTAAAGGCTTTTCTGAAGAAGAGGGTTTTGAGTCTGGATTTGAAGGAGTTTAGAGAAGGTGACTCTCTGATATCCTTGGGGAGAGAGTTCCAGAGCTTGGGGGCATAACAGGAGAAGGCCCTGTCACCCATACAATGTAGATGGGCTTGGGGGACAGTAAGGAGAGCAGAATTAGAAAAGCGAAGGTTGCGAGGTGGGGAGTACGGCGATAATAGTTCAGACACTGAGGTGCCAAGCCATGCAGAGACTTATAGGTGAGCATGAGGATTTTAAAGTCTACACGGAATTTGACGGGAAACCATTGCAAGGACTCCAGGATAGGAGTAATGTGAACACTTGCACTAGACCTGGTCAGGATTCTGGCTGCTGAATGTTGGACATACTGCAGTTTGTTCAGAGTAGATTTAGATACCCCAGCGAGTAGAGCATTACAGTTGTCAATTCGAGAGAACACAACTGTGTTGATCAGCTTTTCAGCCACAGTTAATGATAGCATATGGTCTAGTCTAGCGATATTTCTAAGGTGAAAAAAAGATGTTTTGATAGTATGCTGCACATGTGGGTCGAATGTTAAGCCAGAATCGAATATAACCCCAAGGTTTTTCAATTTTGATTGAAGCTCAAGTACAGAACCATCTACAGATAGGGTTACAGGACTGGCTTTACGAAGTTGATGGGAGGTGCCAATAAGCATGACTTCAGTCTTGTCGCAGTTAAGATGAAGGAAGTTTTGAGTCATCCAAATTTTTATGTCAGAGATGCAATTAGATAGAATAGAGACAGCCAGATCAGTGCCAGGTTTGGTATGGATGTATATTTGAGTATTGTCAGCGTCAAAATGAAACCTGAGGCCATGTGATCTTAAAAGCTGACCAAGTGGGAACATGTAAATGCTGAAGAGCAAGGGGCCCAGTATTGAGCCCTGAGGAACACCAGACTTAACAAGACCAATTTCAGACCTGTACCCATTAAGAGAGACAAAGTGACAGCGATCAGTGAGGTAAGATTTGAACCATTTCAGAGCAGGGTCAGAAACTCCAAACAGTCTCGAGACGAGAAAGTAAGATGTTATGGTCAACAGTGTCAAAAGCAGCACTGAGATCAAGAAGGATGAATATAGAAAGAGAACCAGAATCAGAAGCTATTAGAAGATCGTTAGTGACTTTGACCAGGGCAGTTTCTGTGCTGTGAAGTTGACGGAAGCCAGATTGGAGGGGTTCGAAAAGGTTGTTTGTCATGAGGTGGTTATGTAACTGAAGTGTGACAGCACGTTCTAGAATTTTAGCAAGAAAGGGTAAGTTGGAGATGGGGCGAAAATTGTTAAGATTGTCGAGAGCCATGTTAGGCTTTTCTGGCACGGGGGTAATGGCAGCAGTTTTGAGGACCGTTGGTACAATGCCAGTGCTCATGGATTCATGTATAATATTGAGGACAATGGGACAGAGATAAGACAAACAGGACTGAAATAAAGTGGTGGGGATGGGATCTAAAATAGATGTGGTTATGACGTTCTCATCAATGTCCAAGATTGTGGGGGGTATATTATGTTCTATTATGTTCTGTTGTTAAATCGAATGATGTGATCTCATGGATCTCATCGTGTTTAGATAGCACGTGGGCAGAAATCAAGTGTGGGGTTTTCTGGTCACTAGTTAGAACTATATAGTGTGAGAGGAAAAGCCAGTCAGGATTTTGGACAGCTAAATTTCTTAAAGCCAAATCACTGTTAGCACTGAAGGCGCTGCTGTACTTTGCGATTGCATTACGGTATCAGGAATATTCTCCTTTATGAAATCCCAGCATAAGTGGAAAGGAGAAAGAAAAATGATCAGACATTTGTCAAATTTATACAATTTCATAAGTCTGTGTACCCTAATGTATTACTACATTAGGAATATTTGGCGAAAGATCGCAGTCTTCTCCCGGTATATATAGGTACGTATTGTAAAATGTAGCTTGAGGTTCCTTAATTTTGTTTTTACTGATGCGGTCTTGGATACTACCCCTTACAGTACACAATTAACTTGCAAAGCACGTTGAAGCCTTAGAAGTCATGTCCCGTCTACCATTGATAAACGTTGTATTACAGACAAAACGTTATACAGGCAGACGGTCTGATAAGTACATTTGTCCATTACTGCCAAATTCTATTTTAAACGAGCATTCTGTTCTTGTTTACCATTAAACAAATAAATTATCACTGGTTCCAAAACTGCTTTCCGAACGCTGCTTTTCGGAGCTTTGAAAATGGCGCAGTTGAGTTCTCAGACCGTGTAGTAATAAACTTTTATCAGTGAAATTAAATTTTTAAATGTCCCCTCCTACCTCGTACTCCGGTAATTGCTTTAGAAGGAAGCAAGCTAGCACTTCGTCGCAGTGAAAGGTTCCGTTGTGGGTACCAATCCGAGGAGTCGGCATTTTCAAACCACAGAAGCGCTTTGCTTCAGGCGATTGCATGTAGGTTACGTTCCTGTTCGGAGAGCCAATATGTCCCGAGATAAAACGACAGAATTGAACACAAACAAAACCTCGCTGAAACAACCGGTCAACAGCAGACAGATTCGGGGTGAGGTTACGGTAGGTACCGTGGCCTAAAACGCGACAAAGCTTAAGGCAGAACAACATACGGAACCCCAAAATAAACAATTGAAGTTGAGAGGTCGAACTTTCATTCAGCGGGACCGGCGGATATGATGTTATTATCCACTTCCTGTGGGTTTTCCTGGAGCAGGAAGGGGGTGTTAAGTGGGAGGACTTTAAGCTATTATGGCAATTAATTGCACATTGGTGGTGGTGGAGGGGAGTCCCCGTTACTTGTAAAGCGTTTTGAGTAGAGTGTCTGGAAAAGTAATATATATGTATAAGGAATTATTAAATTCTATTATAATTAAAGCACACAACTACTCCACCTCAACAGCAGATGGATGGCACTGAAATTTACAACATTTCTAACAGCCATTAATTTAAGGTAGTAAATCTGATCTGTATTAGAGTGGGACTGTGGCACAGTTGTTGGCATTGGTGCCTTGCAGTGCTGGGGCACTGGGTTCAATTCTGAATCTGGAATTTGTTTTATTATTGTTCATTTTCTTTAATTATTCTTCAATTTCAAACCCAGGGTGCTGTTTTTTCTTCTCGTGTTTTCTCTGTTTATTCTGGTTTCTCTGTGTATTCCTCCAGCAGTCCAAAGACATACTGATGGGTTAACTAGCTTCTGGGAAAACCGGCCCTGGTGTGAGAGTGTGTGTCAGTGTATGTCCTGCAACAGAGTGATGTCTCATCCAGGGTGTATCCTGCCTTGCACCCATTGCTGGCCAGGATAGGGTCACAGGGGAGCAGGAGCCCGAGTTAGAAGAAGAAAATGTAAAGATGGATGACCTGTAATATTTTTAAACAGGGTACTTTTTAGGAATCGCACAGAAAATAAAAAAACACTGAATAAGGAGAGCACCAGTCTTATTGGTAGCAACTATACATTTTTATTTATAATCTTCATTTTTTTGGTATACATAGTAGTTTTAAAAATAGCAAATATAATATAAATTCCTTTTTCTTATGTCTCCTTACTTTTTATACTTTCCAAGGCAGCTGGATGTGAGAAAAATATATTACTACATACAGTGTGATATAAAAACACAACAACACATAACACAATATATTAAAGCTGTATTAAACTTGGCATAGTTCTTTTGTGTCTTTAAAAAAATCTTGTACTGCAAATATAAATGCACAAAGCTTTTACAAAATACGACTGACTATATCTTTAGAGTATACAAAGAGTGCTATGCAAATCTTTGGTTACAGGGACTGGTGGCCACAATAAATGTCAGGCTAGCAGTCTGTGATCCCAGGATGTGAAGCGCCAAGAACAGCAAACATAGATAGGTGGGTCCCTTTTCCTGTCGAATGAAAGCATGCCAGAACAGGGCTTAGATCACCTCTGTTGCCGCTTCATTGATCAGTGGAAATCCAATTCCCAGCCCTGCTTCTATTCAGTACCATCCAGAGCAAAGCACAGGCAGAAGCAAAAACAATCGGGCAAGGCCTGTTGTATTGACAGCAGTTTAAAACATTCCAAGGAGAAACAGCACAGGCACTCATTCAATGCTTCTATATAAAACATCAGTCTAACATCACAACACTGTGAACTCGGGGATATTTGCAGTAGTTCTTTCTTTGGTTAATAGGAATTAATGCATATGCAGCATTCCGTTACCTTTTCCTATTAATGCCAGTCAAGTGGCACGTAAGCACATGTGGAATACTGTGTGGATATATAAGGATCCAAAGAGGACAAAGTGCTTCTACAGCAATAATTACCTTGGGGGTTCTGAAGCCTTTTTGAGGGAGACTATTAGAAATACAGGGTGTTTTCTGCACAGAGCACCTCCATTTGGTGTGCAAACACACTGGCACCACTGAACTGAAAACTCATAAAACACAAAGGGGTCAGAAAACCCAGAATAATGTACAATATAAAGAATACATAGATATTTTAACTACTTCCAGAAACACAGTGTGCTAGCAGTTGCTTCTGCGCTTTGTAAAATAGGTATGCAAGCAATTATTGAAGCCACTGGAAATGACATAATAAGGTCATTCTCCAGCCTCACAGATGATTTCTTTTCTGTCTAGCTTCCAACATTCCTGTAAAGAGCCAATGTTGTTAAGAAAATCTCCCCTCTAGATTTTACTCTCTGGGTTCCAGTCTCCCCTCCTGTGACCCTAAATCTAAATATCCCATTAACTATTTACTTCCCCTCTCAGTTTTTTTAGATATTCACTTCATCTGGCAGGTGGTGCATTAGCTCTGTGGCTAAGGATCTGCGCCTGTGGCTGTAAGGTTGCCAGTTCATATCCCGCGGCCGGCAGAGGAATCCTACTCCACTGGGCCCCTGAACAAGGCCCTTAACCCCAACTGCTCCAGGGGTGCCGTATAAATGGCTGACCCTGCGCTCTGACCCCAAGCTTCTCTCTCCCTGTCTGTGTGTCTCATGGAGAACAAGCTGGGGTATGAAGTGGAATCGCATGTTAATGCTGAACAAAGTTAAAACTTTGTATGAAATCTTATATGAAAAGAGATCAGGAAGGCATGTAATAAATGTGACTTAATATTACTGGGAGACTTCAATTTTCTACACAAACTGGAATACTGTGACAGAAAAGGCTGAAACTGATACGGTTGCAATGGTTACTAACTGCTTCTTCATTCTTTTTCTAAAAGGCTGACTCTCAAATTAAAAGCCATATCAATCTATGGTAATGTACACATCGATCATGGTTACCAACATGAAACAGAACAGGAACGCCCGGCTTCTAAATGGAGTGATATAAGCAGTGGACTGCTGTAGAAATCCAGTTTGCAGTTCCTGATTTAGATCAACAAGTTAGTCTGCTATAGTAGAAGATACAAAGTGAAGGCCAACAAAAATTCAGCAAGGGATTTGCAAGCAACTTAAAATCACAGAGTGGGCAGATACATGGCAAGCAAATTTACTGTTGAGAAGTGCGAACTGAATCTCATTGGTAGTAAGCATAAACACTGCACCTCGCATGGGCAATTCAGTGATTCAAAAAGGCATCTGACTATTTATGTACTGCAGATCCAAGACAAAAAAAAACAAGAAACCAACAGAATGCTTGGGTACATGGGAAGAAGTGTGCCATGTAAATTCAGGTGATTTATGCTGAAGCTGAAGACCTCAATAAAAATAGCGTTCAGTTATGGTCACCATGTCACAAAATCAATATTGGAGCCTTCTACAGAAAAGCAATAGGAATGATTCCAGGTCTCGAAGAATTGTCATATACAGATCTAGAATAAAATGGATTGGTTCAAGGAGGTATAATCCTAAGGATCCCTGGGCTGGACCCTATTTCAGGCAATCATTAAACAAGCACATACTGTAGTGCCATAAGCGGAAACTAAAAGGGATAAATTAATGGCTGGATTTATAGGCTTCACTTAGCCACTAAACCTTCAAAACAAGCATGATCTGTCAAATGGCCTCCTCTCGTTTGCATTTTACATTTGTTCTTATGTTCTTGTCTTGTGGAGAAGATCCAAAGCAGAGCAAAATATGGTGAATTGCAGACAACCCATACAATAGGATATGCCAGGAGCCAGTGCTAAACATCACCAAGTACCTGAAACTCAGTTTACACCAATGCAAAACCTACTATGAACTACATAGCACCTTGCCCCTCTGAAATGGGACTGAGATTCAGGCTTAGACCTTAGGGCTATAATTTTCAACACTGATGAACCCAACAGGATGCTGAAGTGCAAGGTGATGCTGAATAGTCTATTTTCTTTATGCCTTCATATAGATACACTAGTATTTCTAATCCTTTCCATCAGCCTTGGTCTGTTCCTATCGGAGCACAAAGAGCTTAAACTATACGTTTAAGGCTGTTTCCATCTAACAAATGCTGTTCCTGGTCTGCCACACTTCTCTTCCGGCAGGGGCAACAAACATACTGTTTTAGTAAGAGAGTACACTGCATCACCAAATGATTCCACTGGAAAACAAACTCCATGTTAGAACTTCAATACAACTCCATCAAGGGAATTAAAAAAAATGGAAAAAAATCCTTACTCCCGACGTTCCCGACTCCAAAGTATTACACTGTGGTTTTAAGTCGCCCTACAGATTGAAATAAAGGCCTTTCTAAGCTCTGGCATTTCTCCTGCACACACTCTCTCTCACTCAAGGCACATACGCTAACATGTCACTACACTCCGAACCTTCTTCAGCAGTGACCTACCCTGACCTCTCCGCAGCTTGAGGGCTCAGCACTGCCGCAGCCCCACTGTCGTCACTGCCCTAGTCCTGCGCTCACTTGGCAGCTGCACTGTGTGAAATGTAACAGTGTACAACCCAGGTAATGAAATGAGGGAAAGGCTGAACAGCAGGCTTGAAGTCACTGATATCATTCAGACATGAAAAGCCCAGCGATGTCACAAGCTTCACGAGATGGAGCTTGGGCAGATATCTGAAAGAGATGCTAACGAGGGGGCTGAATGCGCCGGGAACTATGCAAGGAACACTCCTGCCAGAATTCTGCGTGCTCCTTTCAACTTGGCTCCAAACGCAGCTGGTGCTGGCAAATGAAGATCCCGCAGGAGGAAGGGAAGGAGAAGAAAAAAAAGGGATGTATTACAGGGGAACAAGACGAAAATCTTGTGCAGTATACGGAAAGTTTTAAAGTTTTATTCTAAACTCAAATGATTTTGTTCTGCTTTTATTTTAAAGCTTTTTTTAAAATTCAGATGTACCAATTTTGTTTTTATCATTGCAAGCACGTTACATCGATTAAGGCACTGTAGAACTTCACAGCCAAGGGATTGTGTGCTGGAGCTCGTAAGGAGATAACGTGAAAGAAAAATATTTATTTTCTCAGATAAGTGATGCAGTATAAGAAATGCAATGGAGAAAAAAAGCAAATGCTAGTTGGAAAACGATCATTAAGAAATGGTCACATTTGATTGTGACTGGTGTCCATTTTAACCTAGGATACTGAAGTAAGACAAGAGCGTATTCTGTGTAGTAAAGATGTCCTGAAATAATAAATTCAGGATAATCTGGAAAAAAAACATTTTGAGCTTCAGAAAGTAAATGCCACTGCACAGTAAAATATACAGTATGGTCTCAAAACGCTGAATCTTCTCAGTGCTTTGAACTGCTTTTTCGTCAATCACTGGCCTGTTTTCACAAGCACACTTAACACAGAATGAGCTTTCATTTCAAAGGAAGAGCAGCCAACGCCAGCTCAGTAATAACTGTCTTATAACCCCAGGGTATGCATCTATTATTGGCCTTAATTCAGAATCAATATGCATGAAGCTCACAGTGATTAATGCTTTAATTTGCAATTAAGTGTTTGTTCCAAGGTCATTTCTCTTTTTCTTCTTCTTCAATGCACTCTGATCTAAAACGTTCTCCTTCCTGGCTGCTCTCCATAGCTGGCAGCAGCTTTGCATGTAGATGGGAGCCGTTTTACATTAATGTTGACCTGGAGCCTTCACTTGAGTGGTTTCTAGTTGGCATGTCTCGGAAATCTCAGCAGCAGGCGCTTCAATTCCTCCTTCAGGTTCTCCCAATTCTGGTTTATGTCCTGGGAGTTAGGCGCCTTATCTAAGGGCAAGGTCGTGAAGGGTCAAGAACACAGAACCAGGGATCTCAAAGATCTGCATAGTTGTGGCAGAGATGAAGCAGCATCCCTGCACAGTGGGATCAGGGATGGTATACAACCAGCACATTTTGTACAGGTATACTACCCATCATGCAAGAGGTCCAGTCCCCTGGACGCAGATGCACTTCAGTTGTGCTGTGATCGTCCCGAATTGCCTGCCTCAGGCTTAATTAAATTCACAAAGTAGGCAAATTAATTCAAACAGGCTCTGGAAAAGTACAAATAAATAAAATGAGCAGACAGAGGCTGCATGAATGAGAATAAAATTGCAGAGTCCTTCCGTACATGAACAGTCCTGACTTCTGTACTCTGACAGACAGATTGGTCACCCTTTACACTGTATCCTGCCTGTTTCACTGAGTCTTCCTTGTCTCGCTGTCCCTGCTACCTTTTATCCTGGGAGCAACTTCCTAAAGGGCATGAGCGGCCAGACTTTGTGCCCACGAGAAAAAAAAATGTCTTTCTCATTTTACAATCACCTCTACCTCGTTCATCACCACGTAGCTGGAACGAAGGGTTTGAACAACGTCATGGCCCACAACTGCTCCGCCATCTTTAGCTTCAGGTCTGCCCTCTTGCCTTTCTGTGCCCCCACCCTCCCGCCACTGCCCCCTCTACCCATCACCGATCCCCCCCACTCCCTCCCATCTTCTATCTGCGGTGGGGGCCCAGCATGACTTTGTTGATGAAGTTGACGATGGCGGACGCGGGCTGCTCAGGGTCCAGCTCGGCGAAGAGATGGCACACGTTCTCCAACACGCTGCCTTGTTTCTTAGCAACAAAGCCGAAGATCCTGTGAGGAGAAGGAGAAGGAAGGAAGAGAATGAAGCTTGTAAACAATCAGAGGGAAAAAAGAGTTATTTTACAGCCCTTCATTGCTAACAAAGACATAAACAACAAAGTGGTGTCCAGAGAAGTACATTTTCAGGTCGTCTGGCTCCTTTTACCTAGCGAGTTCTATACTGACGGGTGCCTAACTGGGACACCAGAGGAAGGACAGCTGTTACCAGTTACAAACAAACAGGTCCTTGGCCACCCAACTGGACTTCTGCCACATGGTAAGCTACTACAGCATGAAACTGAAAATGCCCCTATGTGTTGAATGATGAGTATGTATATTCTTAATGAAAGCCATTAGGACAAGTGCTTGGACACGCCTTGCTCTTATAATAACTGCTGTCCTTGGGATGAGAGTTCTGACCAGCAAATCCTCCTCTGCTTTTTTGGAAATTGCACTGCCAGAGATTCAGAATAAGAAAGATAGGATTAAGAAAGGGCGATATCCTACTTATTCACACACACCACATGGTTTTTTCCATTTTCAAGCTAACCGGAAATGTAGAGCGTTAATATTAATAACCAATAGAGACATACTGTAAGTGCTGGGTAAGGGTAAGGGTTAACTGATCACAAACCCTCACACTACCAGCAGCCCCACTGGGAGAGCACCAGTTTATTTATGATCATTCTTTAAGCTGATTTTGAGCCAAATCACAGTTAATCCAAACTTCCAAAACAAAAGCAGTGAATGAGGAAACAATGTTAGCTGAGAGATCAGTCACCCCCTGGACCTGTTTTAACTTGCATTGCACTCCTTTTTTTTTTCCGAGCGCCTTAGTTCTATATTCACCTCCAGCTGAAAAAGACATCAGCTGGAAAAAATGACTGCAAGAAACACTGCTATGTTATCCTTTAAAAAAAAACTAAAGCCCAACATTTAAACAACCAAATTTTACATTTAAAGGAAGAATCCCAAACCCCGCTTGTTAATTTAGAAGCTGTTACGTGTGGTTTAAAAGATGGCATGCAGCTGGGAAAAAATGCAGTAAACCCGAATACCTAAATGCAATGTTCCTGCTGTATTTCTGTGATCAATTTGATTAATAATACTTTATTAAGTGGCAGGACAAGATTAGGGTTGCAGAGGGAGGCTGACAGACACATGTTTTGCCTCCTGAAGGGGGCCTGGCTGCAGTGACTTACTTGGAAGTGGTCCCATCAGGATTTGTCCACCTGGGGGCAGAGAAAGAAGAAAGTGAGACTCAGGGCGAGAGGGGAGGGGAGTTAACACAGGAGGTAATGCGCACGGCTCTCTTCCTGTTGGGGGCACACTGCTCCAGTGAACGTCACTCAAACAGAAGAACAATGCAATTCCTTCCGGCTCTGTGGTGGGATTGTGCTGGTCACTTCCAGGAAACACTTGTGAGCTGCTTTGAGGTTCAGGATAGACAGAAAAGCTTCAGAGCCAGCTTTCAAAAGCTGGGCCTGGACAGTGTTGGGGTACGTTTAGTGGGTTTCACCTACTCTCAGCAGTTAAAGGCATATGCTTTATTTTTAAGATTTTTCACTTACAGTGACAGAGCCTTGGTGTTCCTGAGCAAGGACTCAGAACGAAGGAAATGAGTTCACCTGGGCATTCAAACAACAAATTACAGACACAAATTTCTTCCTTATAAATCTGTGTCCAGAAAAGTACAAACGTGCAGTGTGTTGAATGCGGAACAATGTGTTGAGGGGGGCAACACGGTATGTGGGTGTGCTGAACAGTTTTGGGGGACACAGAACGTCAGGTAAATGCCACACCTCCGATCCTGGGGGTCCACGTTACTGAAGGTCACGCTGTTGACGGGGTAGTGCCTCCTGAAGAACACTCTGAGACGGCACAGAGAGAGACAGAATCAGTTCACCTGCCCACTCGCCCACTCCTCGCACATCAAGCTGGCTGCATCCTCAGGTCTCGGTCACTGTGCTTCACGCTGGCTGCCAGCGGATTTACTGATCGCCTGTTGCCATCACTGCACATGATCCCTGCTCACACAGCTAGCCCCGGGCCCTAGCCAAAACTCGCAGCCGTGCATGATCCTCCAGGTGGAATGTGGGAGAATGTAAACGGCTGGGAGAGGGTTACACTGGTTTCACAGCGCACAGAGCTACACCACGTGTTTTCATGATACCACACAATTTCTTTTATGTATTAATATTTCAATCAAATTCAATAAATCAATCATCCACCCATCCATCCATCTTCTAACTGCTTTATAAAGCACAGGGTCCTAGGAGAGCCAAAGCCTATCCCAGCAAGCAACGGGCACAAAGGCACAGTATACCCTGGACAGAGGATGCCAGTCCATCGCAGGGCAGAGACACAAACACACTTGCACCAGGGGCAATTCTCCCAGAAGCCAATTAACTTTCCAGCATGCCTTTGGACTGTGGGAGAAAAACGGAGCACCCGGAAGAAAATCCGCATCAGCAAGGGGATAACATACAAACTCCACACAGACAGCACCCCAGATCCGTAATTGATCCCAGGACCCCAGCACTGTGAGGCAGCAGTGTTCACCACTGCACCACTCTAATCAATCATCATTAACCTTTTTATTCTTTGTGCGGCACAGGAGGGGCAGGCTCCTGGCACTGGATTCACTTATTTTGGTGTGGGGTGTTTAAGGGGCTGCTGTAGGCGCACTAAACGAACACGCAGGTGGGTCTTACCTGCGCTGGCTGTCGGTCAGGGTGATGCCCTGCGCTGACACTTTGAAGTGCACCACCGTGGCGGGGGGGCGCGGGCTGCGGGACAGGGTGGCACTGGCGGCCTTGGAAACAGCCTGGGGACCCGTCAGGGACTCCGTCTCCACCGAGTTGAGGTACAGCACGTTGCAGGCTAAGGGCAGGAGGGGAGATCGGACACATTTTAGGCTCTTGGATCCGCAGATCTGCAAATGCCCAGCTCAAGCACCTTCGATGGGCCCCGTTTCTCACACTTCTCACATCAAATCCTTCTACTTGAGAGATGCTCACATTTGAACTGTGCATTTATATGGAGGAAATATATATGCAAAATAGTTGTATAAAAGCATATATATTCTGGTAGATAAGTTATATACTGGAAACTGGATGTGCATTGACAACCAAGAACAGCTGGCACTGCTTTACCCAAAGGGTTGTGGGAGTGTGGAGCAAGGGACGCAGTCACTTTGTTGGAGTTAAAACTTTGGCTTCTTTCAAGAAATGGCTGGATGAGACCCCTGGATCAACTCCTCTCATGAGGAACCATTCCTATAGTCTGTTTCTAAACTAAGTGTTTATATTTCCTACACTTTTAACTCAACAGAATGCAGGTATCCTTATGGCATAGTACCCCACTGAACTGAAACTGCAACAGCTGAGGCAATTGCCTGCATCAGAGGGGGAAGATTTAATCTGAGCACCGAGCCCATTGGCTGAGAGGAGGTGCTGCAGTCCTGAAGTGCAGCCCCTCAGAGGTCTAACCCACAGACGCAAAGCAGAGTAAGTCACTCTATGAAGGTAAGCCCCCACCCTCATTTCCCAGACTTTCACCAAGAAACATATGTCCCGAGGCTCCCACAGATGGGAAGTAGATAGTACAGACTGGCGTTAATTTATTCTGTCTCCTCAAGCCTCCCCCATCTACAACAGCGCCTCCCAGGCCCTTCCTTACCTGCGCCCTGCTTGAGCAGATCTGCCGCTGTGCTCATATTGCTGGGGCTGCTCACCTCCTGGGTCTCGCCTATGGGGTCTGAAAAAGATGGAGCAATTGTGAAAATCCTAAAATGTCCTGCTTATGTAGGAAATTACTCCGTCCAACCATCCTTTTAACTTGTTCATGGTGCACTCTGCAATAAGATAGATTAATATCCCCCCATTATTCCTTACCAACTACTTCATCACTAACGATTTAGCATGGTCCCAACATCTAACTGGAGCTACAAAGAAGGCACAACAGCCCCTTCCTCAAACAGGTGAAAGAATATGGTCTATTTCACAGGTGCGCTCTTGAGAGTGTGCTCACATGTGGGATTACAGTGTGATCTGGCAGCAGCTCGTTGTCTGACCAAAAGGCATTACAGGGGGTAATCAGGTCAGCCCAGTCCATCAGTGGAGTACAGCTGCCCTCTACTGTGGACATTTTTACAACTCGCTGTCTCAGAAAGGCTGGGAACATCACTAAGAACAGCAATCATCCTGTTTTCTTCCTTTTTGTTCCCTCTGGTAAGCCTTCTAGGAGCATGAAGGCACAAACCTCCAGAGACCATTTCTTCCCGCAAGCAGTGTGATTACTGAACTCTACCCCTACCACTGACTAAACTCATCTACATAAGCAAACCTACAGTACTACTTACACTAATGCATTTTTTTTATTTTCTCACACTGCTTGTGTTGACTTGCTTTTAAAAGTTGCATGTTATTTAACTTGTTGTTTTTGCAGCTGCTGCTGCTTTTGTTCTGGGTCTTTTAGTGATTCCTTAACGTCTTTATATCAGAGCATACATGTCAATATGCATTTCATTGCACTTGTGCATATGACAAATAAACTGAATTGAACCTAGTACAGTGCTTTGTCTCCCTCTAGTGGACGGAGTCGTCTAAAACAGCAACAGTAGGTCTGTATATTCTACAGCAGAGGAACCAATCTCCAGTCTTGGAAGGCCTCAGTCTAGCACATCTCATGATGTGAGCTGTAATTGGAAATGTTTAACAAATATTCTTGGGTCTTAAGATCATTTAAAGACACCCATATAATCTACCACGATTTATTACACGCTCCACTATATTTACACTTATATTTACACTAGCAGCCCTGTCACCCTACAACACACAACTGGCAGCCCACTGAAGCTAAGCAGGTGTGAGCCTGGTCAGTACCTGGATGGGAGACCTCCTGGGAAAAGCAAGGTTGCCGCTGGAAGAGGTGTTAGTGGGCCCAACAGGGGGTGCTCACCCTGTGGTCTGTGTGGGTCCTAATGCCCCAGTATAGTGACGGGGACACTATACTGTAAAAAGGCACCGTCCTTCAGATGACAAGTGAAACTGAGGTCCTGACTCTCTGTGGTCATTAAAAATCCCAGGTTATTTCTCAAAAAGAGTAGGGGTGTTACCTGGAATTGGGTGTAAAAAGGGTGTAATTTCCCATTGACCTTAACCAATCATGGCCTCCTAATAATATCCATCTCTGAACTGGCTATATCCCTCTGTTCTCCTCCCCACTGTTGTGTGGTGAGCGTACTGCTGCACTTTGGATGCCCTCACATCATCCAGGTGGGGCTGCACATTGGTGGCGGTGGTGGGGAGTCCCCATTAACTATAAAACGCTTTGAGTGAATTGTCCAGAAAATGCATGTTAAACCTAAGTGCTCTAACTTGCGGTGACTCTGAACTGGGCCCGCTGTCTCTGGATGCTGTATTCTGAGGATCGCAACTATGGAATAAACTGGGGACACTCACCTTTCTCCGGGATGCGCAGGGTGCAGGGCAGGGAGATGGGGGTGATGGAGTGCTGGTAGACCAGAGCAGACAGGCTCCCTGCGAGAGACGGAGAGAGAAGGGAAGGCCAGCCGGCTGTCACAGCAGTACTGCAGTTGCCTGTCGCGCACGCAGGCACAGCTCTGAAGCTGACAGCTCAGGTGCGTTTAAAGAGCTGCATGACATCAGCAGCAGAACCCTCAGGCATGGCACTGTTGCTAATCAGCTGCCTGAAACAATACCTTTCACAGGAGGCATGCCAAGCCATCTGAACAAAACCCAAATTACACGTTATGCCAGTGGGTCTTTACGGTCTTGAAGTGGGTCTTTACATTAATTTCATTACATGGTGAGATTGTAATCTCCAATGGTTCCTAATAAAAGAGTAAAAGAACTTCCTCCTATTTCCTTTCCTAGATGCAGTCAGGTATCCTTGTCACACAGAGAAGAGTAAAGATGTGAAATTTTAAAAGCTGAAGACTGAAAGAAGCTTTCTCTTCATTCTAAGTTGTTTTTGGCTACCCCAGGCCTGTGTCCGCTCCCCCCCCCCCGCTAGCCCCCCATCCCTCCCCACCTCTCTTACCAAAATGCGGCTCATTCTGACACCCCTTAATCTTCACCCCCCGGGGTCCCGTCTCGATCAGGAAGTGGCGCACCAGCTGGTCCAGGGGGTCGCCTGGGGGGGACAGAGAGGTACCGGTCAGGGCAGGAAAGACACCGTAAGGGTCAGCTTCTCAACGGCGGGACTCTCCTTCCCCAGATCAAGTACACCGAGTCTCTGCCACTGTGCAGAGCGACTTCAGAGACGCTGCGACTGACCACCTGTGCAAGGAAATCTGCTTCACCTGCCCCAGGTGTACTCTACAGGAGGGCAGTACTCTACCTTTGCTGCTGTGCGTGTTGACGTTAGGAGGAGGGGTGGCCACCTTGAGGGCCAGGCCGTACGCCCCGTGGAAGGAGTTACTGTCCCGGATGAGGAAGGCGCCTGGCTCCTTCTCCTTCAGCACGGCGATGGCTGCGCAGAGAGGGAGAGACCGGGGTCTTGTGAAACACGTCACCGAGGGCAGGGAGGGGTACTGAAATTGCCCTCGGTGTGTAAGGCAATTTCAACGCTTCAGAGGGAGGATCAAAAAAGCCATAGAGAAAAAGTCCGGAGAGGAGCAACAAGAGCCTGGCAATTCAGGGAGTTAACAAGGAGAGACTGAAGGAACTTCACCTTTTTATTTCAGTAAAAGATGCTGGACAGGAGACTCGAGAATTTTAAAAGGCATCAGTAAGGTCGATCTCAACAGTTAATTCACGTTAAATTTGGTGAAATAAATGAGGGGGGGGGGGTTTACGTAAGAGTTGAGTTAAGCCAATTTCATACCAACAGTACAAAACAGTAAATCACCAAGAACAACAAATAAATGGTCTGTGAATTTGGCTCAGACAGGGTGCAGACGTACATTGAAATGATGCAACATTTCTGCCACTCAGATGACCCCCTCACCTTGGTCCCGGGAGATGTTGGGCTTGTACCAAAATCTCGAGGTGTCCTGGACGAACTTGGCATTGACCCGGTTGTCCCCTTCCCCCTCCGCGGGCACCCCTTCCCCCAGGGCGGGCGAGAAGGTGACGTGGTGCCCCTGGTGGGTGCCCCCAGGGCTGGTGGGGCTGCGCAGGGCTGAGGACCTGCCGCCGGGCGAGCTGGTGCCAGGCGGGCGCTCGGCCAGGGCGGAGAGGCGCCTCTTCTCGGGCAGGGGGGGCTGGGCTTCTGGCGGGGGGATGGTGACGGCGGTGTAGCCCGTGTAGGGACCCGGCGTCGGGGTGTGCCCGCTGTAGTAGTAGGTGGAGATGGGGAAGGAGGGGGTGGCGTGGCCTTCCGCAGAGGGCGAGGGGGCAGGGCAGGGCTGGACGTGCCCGCTCTCAGCACCCAGCATGAGCCGGCGCCCCAACGTGGAGAAGCCCGGGACTGGGGGCTCGGCCGAGGGGGACCTCTCGGGGCTGCCGGGGCCTGGGGACTGAGGGGAAGGAGAACCGGGGTGAGAGGCGGCCGGGCTGGAATTGGGGACACCCAACATGCCTTGCTCCCCGTTCCTTTCCCCCGCCGCAGCCGAACCATTGAGGTGCACAGACACCGGGGTGCTGGGCTGCGGGGGGCTAGAGCCGGAGACAGGGGGGCTCTGGGAAACTGGGGAATGGGGGAGCTTCAGGGTAGCCCCGACACGTGATGAGGAGCTGCTGTCGCTTCCCACAGCCACTTGGGGCCTCCAGTAGTGTTCAGCCTGGCCGTTGGTGGCCGAAGGAGAGGGGCTGTGTGTGGGGGGGTCCGTGGCGGGCTGTGGTGGGGATCCCTTAGGGGACAGCGGAGGGGCGGCTGTGCCCACGGCTGGGGAGGTAGGAGCGCTGTGCAGAGGACTGGCGGGAGGCTGCTGAACAGAGACAGACTGATGCAGACACTGGCGTGGCTCCTGGCACTGGGTCTGAGGCTCTGGGAGTCCCTGGGGGGCAGGAGGAGGAGGAACGGAGCTCCTGGCCATCGCAGTTTCTGTCACATGAAGCTCTATTTGCTGCGGGGCTGTTTCAGCTGGGCTGGGGCTAGGAGGAAAGGAGAAAGAGAGAGGTGAATGTATTTTTCCTGCTTTAAAACATTAATGAGCAAGAATTGTTTTTCCAAAATCTACAGTCAAAACCTGACTAGCCTTAGGTTTTGATTTGAGCAGCAGGCTGGCAGGCAGAGACATTAGAGTCACGGTACCTGACATGACCTGTTTCTGGCCATGACAACCACAGCGCTGCTGCTTGTTCTGCAGTAACCAAATCAGGACTGAGCCAAGGAAATGTACCTTTCAACCCACCCAGTCTGAATGAACTCCACCGGTCTCAGTCATGTAAACAAGAAACTGGAACAGCCAAATTAAATCAACATTACAGAAGCCAAAAGTGCCTTTAACCACCCTGCAGCCTGAACTCAGAAGATAAACAGTGCTGGACCTGGAAAGGAATGTGACAGTACTGGGATAAGGGAAACCAGGTTGTTGCTGTAAGTGGTTTTGGGAAAACAGCAGGTGGCACTCTTCCCTCAGCACCAGTGCCCAATATGGTGACATGGGACACTGAGCCACAGGAGGTGTCGTCCTTCAGGTGACGCATTAAAACTCAGATCGTGCCTGGTCATTAAAGATCCCATGAAACTCTTCTTAAGAGTAGGGAATATAACCCCCGTATCCTGGCTAAATTATATTTTGAAGTAGTTCAGGTGGGTAGCTGCGTCGACATGCGTAGGCTGCAAAGGAACAAGTAATAGGTTTATTCCATGCTGAAAAGAGAAGAAAGAAAACACAAAGTTTTGTCCGTGGAGCCTTCTTCAAGTGTGAGAAAGACAGGGCAGTAAGCAAAGGTAATGTAGCGGGAGAACAAAAGCTGGGAGAGAGTTGGGGCGAGAGGCGGGAGCAGGGGACAGACAGAATGGCCAAACAGGAGGTGTGAAGAAATTTAGAAGAAAATTAGTCTGGTCATTAGTCTGTCGTTGAGAGAAGGGGAAAGGTGTGATCCTAGCTGCAGGATAATTTTAGTTTCTGTAATCTTTTGGATGTGGTAGTTAGGAAAAGCAGCTTTGAGAACACAGACAGAGACATTAGTGTGACCATGGCTGTCAGACATGAAATGAGAAAACAATAGGCTTGGAGAAATCTTTAATCTTCACAGCCCTAACATGTTCTCTGAAACGGTCTCTGGGCCGGGTCTCTTCCCGTTAACCCAATGTAGATGGCTGGGCATTTACTGCAAGAGATACAGTAAATAAGGTTGCTGGAGGTACAAGATGTCATCTGAGTGATCCGGAATCGTCCTGAGGGGCCTTGAATGAGTGTGGTGTTAGACATGTACTTGCAGGTGAAACAGAGAGCTCTGTTGCTGAGGGCGATCAAGGGTGCTGTGAACAAGAAAGTTAAGCAGGTTAGGTGGTTGGCGATATGAGATGATGGGGTGGTCAGAAAAGAGGGCCCCAGTGGAGGGATCATCCTTTAGGATGGAAAAGTTGTTGTTAATAGTCCTGAGGATAGAAAGTGTGTTGGGGTGGTAGGGAAGCACCAAAGGAATGTGGTTGTTACGGCGGGAGTTCCTGTTCGAGTTGATGGTCCAGGAGCAGGACTGGACATCCCGGTACTACACAAGCGGAAGAAATAATGTTATGTAAAAATCCCCCAGGAAACAGCACAGATTCTCCCGTTATTTCACGGAGTAGTAAAAACAGCGAAGTGGAATACAGGAGGCGTACACACACACCTGTCTTGGGTCCGCAGGGGGCTGCTGGTGTGGACTGGTGTGGACGGCCCCGAGAGGTCAGAGGGCGTGGTGCAGATGACGCGCGCCTCGCGGTGCTGCCGCCGCAATGAACCGTGGGAAATGTGGTCCCTCCAGGTCACACCGTCCCCCGGACCCTCAGTAGTGTCTGCTCCAGGAGAGAAGGAGAGAGTGACGGCCAACCAAGGAACTGTTCTGGGCAACAGCCCTCTTACCCTGACAAACTAAAAACCAGGTTCAGATTAGTCATGATTCCTCAAGTGAAACACAGTCATTTTACACTTTTACTGCATTTTTTCAAAAAAGGGACCATTGTGTCAATTCAGATTTACTGATGCTAGCTTGTTGCTTCTGTTCAGTGTGCCATAGAGTGACTCTTTGCATTCTGTTTTCGTCTTCCACTATAGCCTGCCTGCATATCTGCAATATAAGGACTAACTGACCTAGAACATTGTAAATGGACTTTGTCAAACTTTAAAACAGACTATTAAGAACATGCTATATCAGCTGCCCTGCATTTCCTTATATCTACATGTCCTAAGTCACAGAAGTCAGCCAATGGTTCAATGTCTTGCTCCTTACTGATATGCAAATAGTGTTCATGTGGCCCTGAGCCTCTGTGCTTGGTCCTGAATGGAAACTGGGCGAAGATCAGAGGCACCCAGCCAGACTGACTCACCGGCTCTCTGGGGCTCAGTGCTGCTCCCATGGACGATGTGCTGAAAGTCAGAGGCAGGGCCGGGAGGCACCCTGGGTGGAGTCGGGCTCTCCGTGGGCCCAGGCGTCCTGGCTGAGTGGGGGAGGGGCGAGGTGGACTCGGACTGGTACCCGGACGCGTACCCCCGACTCTCAGACGGCGACAGGCTGCAGGTGGCGGACGAGGGCTGGTAGGGCAAGCAGGCACAGGCTTGCCGAGGGGTCTGGTAGCCACTGCTGGTGCTGTACTTAAACTCTGAGCAGGTCGTGGACAGGGAGTGTGGGTGTGAGTGGGAGCGAGTGGCTGAGGACTCTGGGTAGGCTGGGTGGCCTGAGGGGAGGGGGTCAAAGGTGAAGGCAGGGACCTCGTGGCCCTGTGGCGAGTGACGGGGACCGTAGGGGTCTGCTGAGATGAGCAGAGGAGCAGACTGCCGGCCGTGTCCCAGTCTGGGGGACACTGCTCTGCGGTGCCAAAACTCTGCTTCCCCCTCTCTCTGCAGGCCCGTCTCCCAGTCCCTTTGCAGCCCTGCATCCCTGTCTCTGTCCCAGTGGAGCACCGCGTCCCTGCCCCGCCTCAGCTCAGCCTCCCTGTGCAGTCCCACGTCCCTGTCCCGGTGGAGAGCGCCGTCCCAATGCAGCTCCGCCTCCCGGCCCCTTCTCAGCTCCTCCTCCCTCTGCAGCTCCGCCTCCCTGTCTCTGTGGTGGCCCGCTTCCCAGTGAAGCTCCGCCTCCCGGCCCCTGTCAAGCCGCATGGCGTGGAAGGCACTGGCCGCAGCCTCTTCACGTAGGCGGCACTCCCGGCAGGCACAGGCAGGGGGCGCTAGACCATCCAGAAACAGCATCTCCCGGTAAGGGCTGGAAGGTTGTGAGTGGGGGTGGTAGGGGCCAAATTCATCCCGATAGAGCAGCCTAGGGGGTAGGGTGTGTGGCATCTCTGGCGGGTAGGGGCACAAATGGCGGCTGGGCGTCTCGGGACAGGAGCGGTGAAGGCAATGGGGCAGGGGCTGGTGGTGCCTGTCCCACAGGACGTCAGGGTGCGGGCGGTGCTGGCACAGGTCCAGGTGAGCAGGCTGATGCCCGTTGCGCTCCAGGGTGTAGCCGTTGTGCAGGCGCTCGCAGGCCATCTCCCGGCAGCTCTGGGAGCGGTAGCCCTGCCGGCAGGAGCAGGAGCGCGCCAGCCGGAGGGTGCCCATCCTCTCCAGATCCCCGTCGTCCAGGATGGCCGTCTCCCTCTCGCTCTCGGGAGCCCCGCCTCCGCCCCGCGGATCCATGCCCCCCAGCAGGCGGTCCAGCTCCTCCCTCTCGGCGCGGGTGGGGGGCGGCGGCCGCATGGGCGGGGTCTCCTCCAGGCGCTCGGTGGGAGCCGAGGAGTGGCCCGAGTCCGTGCTGAGGGACAGCAGGTGGCTGTGCTCCCCGCTGCCGGGGCTGCCGTTGGAGGTGAGCGAGCCGGGGCCCCGTTTCTTCTTCACCTGGGCGTACAGGCTGCCGTCCACGGGCCCCCGCGTGTGGGCGATGTCTGGCCCCATTCCCAAAGGAGAAAAACAAGACGTAATGTTTTACCCAGTGCATGGGCCACATTACCACCCCTGTTTTGTTTTGTTTTGCTTTGAAATTCTAAAGGACACAATTTTGCTTGCATTACCAATTCCGCCCTTGTCTGGAAGCAATGCAGTAGCTCACACTCGGTCCTCACAGCACTTGAAAAGGAGATTAGAAGCAATTTTCAAATGCGCTGCAAGAGCACACAGGAGCTGCTGTCCTTCACCGAGACTTGGACTCAATCTGACATTTCAGGGCCCCTCACTGCAGGCGTCACAAAATGAGGAAATCCTCATGCAATTAGTAGTTATGTGCAACAATGAAGGGGTACTGTGCAATTTATAGGGCTTAGGGTGATTGTGGGGGGAGGAAACTTACAGGTTCTGGTAAGCTGTGTGGATTCTTGTAGGAGTGGTGCATAAGGACCACGTACGTGTTGATGTCTTTTATATAAAGTAATTCCATGTAATTTATCTTTATTTTCAATGTATTGTTTCTATGTAATGTTTGTGTATTTTTTGTAAGTCTACGTTTATGTAAAACACAAACTGCTTGGATGAAAAACACATTTCCGAGAAATCTGACACAACAGTATCATTGCATCAGCAGTTAGAAGCCGCCAGATTATATTGTTCACAACTGCCTCCAGATGTTAAAAAAACTGCTGGAGGAATCCTGATCAGAGCTCGATTCACACCAGTAATCCCAGACTACAGAGTCCAGCTGTACACAGCTGTGAGTACCCACTCCATCGGCCTACCTTCCAGGCTGTCCTGGTGCCTCTGGTTGAAGTTCTCATAGGAGTCCCAGCGCACGAGGGGGTCGGAGGTGTTGTAATCCACCGTGACCGAGGGGTCGTTCCTCTGGTACTCCCGACCTGAAACACAGGTACCTGCTCACTGGGTACCCCACGCCCAAGGGCACAGAGAACACCAGCGAGCATGCCAGCCCCCCCCCCCCCATGCAAGATCAGAGGCAGGTAACCTCGGCACATCTGCAACTCTCCGTTCCCAAGCGAGATCTGCGCCTGTACCCAGCGAACAAGCACTACAAGGCAGAGCAATCGCGGTACAAGCCCGGCAGAGCAAAGGCAAGCACAGGACAGTCCCGCCTACCTTTGATCTTCTCCGGTCCAGACGAGAAGACGAACTCTACCGTGGCGTCAGGAGGAAACCGCTCATCTGGATGGGCAGGGAGAAGAGGAGGGGTGGTTAAAGGAACCTTTCTAAAACTCCACACTCTTTCCAAAAACAAATACGAATTTCCTTTCGCAGCTTCGTTCTTCCTTTGTCTCGACATCTTGTGTCAGGTTCCAGATGTCTAAACCTGGCCTGGCTACAGACTGCTACAGAGGCTCTCTCGCTTTCAAGCCACCCATCAGCTTTTATCCCACGAGCACTGTGGGTCACTAACTGCAGCTGTGGGTAGTCAAATGTCCAGTAAGCCCCACTCCAATCTCCATGACTTCAACAACAGCTGTTCACAGCAGAATCTGGAGTTTTAATAGAAGCTGGGGATTTTGTCAACATGAAATATAAAAGAGAAAGATCACAGCATAGCTACTTAGAAACGACGTTCTTCGGACTGGAAGCACGGTGCATTTCACGTTCAAGACCATCTCAAAGAAAATGGAAGCAAGAGAGGTCTGGATGGGGTCTCTAGCAGACATCAGATAGCTAGTAGCAAGCAAACAAGCTAAACAGGTTTGTTTAAAAGGTCTCCTCGTTTGCAACCTTTATTTTCTTATGATGGAATAAAAGCCAGACAGCTCCTATCGTACTCCAGGGCGTGTGTCTGACGCCAATGATTTGACTAAATGGACTATCTGCTGAATCAGTGCAAGTTAATCAATGACTGCCAACCTGGAAAACAGGCTATTTAAAGACCCTATAAAGCCAACAGCTGCAGGCTATTGCAATGGGCATCCAGCAGTAGCACCGTGACAGGTGTGTGACTGTTGAGGAGCCAGAGGAGGGAGACAGGCATGGCATACCTGTGCAGGCTTCGTCCAGCTCCCCCTTCCCAAACCACAGCTGCGCCCCGTGAATGGTGCAGGTGTGAAACTGCAGTCGGAAGACCACGTCCCGATCGGCACTCTTTACCCGACGGTGGTAGCACTTCACCTGCAGGGGGCAGAGCAGAGCACAGTGAGCTGCAGGGATTGCTCCACGCAAGGGTGGGTTTTACATTGAGCGCGAATGGATAGCAACACCTCTCTTCTTCACAACGGATGGCACCCGTCATCACTGAGTCACTCATCTGGAGCCCATCACGGCAGGTGTGATTGAAGGCTCATAGCTGGAGGGAACGTTAGTCCATCCCAAGGCGACACAGGACAGTTTACAGTCAAATCTTGGCAGCATGTCTTTGCAGGTAAGTGGATTGAAAATGCATGGTCAAAATATACAAGAAGTGCAGCCAATGGAGATAGCAGAGTGTGGACCCCTTGTGTTACGGGAGCAGCTGCCTTCCCGAGTGGAAGCTGGAGCGAGGCACTCACCATGATGTCTCCCTTGAGCAGCAGCGCTGGCTCTATAGTCACACACAGCCTCCTGCTCCCAGAGCCCTGCAGATTACTGTGGACAGGAAAGAAAGGCGTTAGAGGCACAAGCCCCCCAAACACCTTGTCAATGTACACAAAGAAAACAAGACTGATCAAGATCAGTCAATCTGATTATACAGATTGTTATTAATCCAACATTCAGTTCTAGTTATTCTTGACAAAGTGTTATTTGCAAGTGCGCTTGACGCAATGTACACAGCCCTTGTAAAGATGCAAATAGTGAAACATCTGCATCAGGCCCTGCTCGAAACACCAACCTACTGGACACTGCTGCTGCTGCTTTGCTTACATAGCCAGAACTCAAGTGGTCAGCTAGAGGTACTCACTAGATCCCTGAAGTGTAGACCAGCTGCATTGACTGGTAGATCTTCAGGAAGGGAAAGAAGCCTGAAACGAGGAGGACAGGATTAGTGAGTCAGTATTTCCCTGTTGCGATACTGTAGAGGAAGGGCCAAGAGGAATGTGCTGACAAATAACCCCCTACCATCACCACCTCAGCACACGCACACCCCCCTTGCCTCTTGATTAAAGACAACAGCAGGCGGGTGCCCAGAAAGGAGACCGGGGGAGGCAATTAGAGAAAAATCCACTGAGGCTCACAAATCGGCCTCAGGCAGCCGTCACAGTGTGGGATGGCCTGCACGCGCAGAAGAAAACCAACATCACAAGTGGTACAGTGTCCCATTACGAAATCAGAGCAGGGTGAAATGTGAGGAGCAAAAGCAAATTGAACTGATTAAAGAGTCTCCAGTTGCTCCCAGTTAATGGATCTAAGATCTAACTGCATGCAGCCCAAGGGAATCACACAAACCTAAATATCAAAGGCTAAGCACACATGGTCAAAGTGCTGCCAAGAAAATCAAATCACTTCTGGCCCCTTCGATCTCTTTCACTGGGTGTCATCTTTGTTTTGTGCCATCTGAGTTTTTAAAATGATAAATCTTGGACGAAATGAAAACCATGAACCAATAACAATTTTGCTATGAGTTTCTCTTTTACTTAGTTTTGAAAGTAGAGCCAAATTGGAGTGTTTTTAAGCCACAAGGACTCCAATGACCCACAACACTGAAAATGTAACAGTGCCTGGCACCCCACAGGGGTCGCTGCTGCACGGCACATCAGGCGGTGCTCAGCCAGCTGGACACCAGCGCTTGGGAAATTACAGTTTACCTTAACTTAGCAAACTACCTGGATAAATAGATTGCTCAAAGATGAGGTGGACAAGAGACAAAAGGACTAGAAGACCTAATGTGCTCCACAAAAGAAGGCTTTTATTAGCTGAACTTTCAGAAGCACCCCATCTTCACATGGATGTGACAGCACTACACCTAAGTACTCTTCGCATACTGATGTTTTGGTGCCTCTCTGTGCAGCAAGAACAGCTTCAGCAGAATGCAGTATGTCTTCCACACGGTCCTGAAATTTTTCTTGTCCCCATTATAGGGCTGTCCAATCCTGTTCCCGGTGGGCTAGTGTCTCGGTAGTTTTTCATTCCAACTCAGCTATAAGTTCACTCTTTTTGTTATTTGCTAAATGGGACCAAATCAACAGCTTCTCTCAGCTCTTCAGGTGTTGAGACTTTTTTTAAAGACACAACAGCATTCCAGGGCCAGGACTGGACAGGATTGCTTTCAACGGTTGTGATGACGGTAAAAGTTTGTGCAACTGAACTGATTTTCAGTAAGACAAATCTGGTGTTTTTCCCAGCCAGAGGAGGAGAGAGAAGTCAGTCTTCTCCACATCAATCCAAGTGCCCACTGCCTGCTACAGAGATAATCTATCAATTTGTCTGAGGCATCCTAATATTTGGGCCAAAGAGTGCATCACTGCGAGACATTTGATATTTGTTATTGCTCTCCCAAAATAAGCATAGAGGCACGTAGAAACTCCTGACAATTCGATAATGAAAACAACAGGGGCGTTCATACTTGAGAACCGCACAGGATCAGCAAGAAATGATGCATCTCACCTCCACCAGGCTCAAAGTTGGGTAAGGTTGGTATGAGCACTTGGTGCAGGAACAAGGGGCTGCTGTTCATCTTTATCGCCCCTGACAGGAGACCTCCGAAATAGTAGATGTATCTGCAGAGTCAAGGAGATAGCAATCAGCTGGTGTTCTCACAAACAAAAACACTACTTCTTTCTGCCAAGTCTTCTACAGAGTATATTCAAAGTTTGCTAAGCACTAAAAGAGGTTGCACAGTCTTGAAAAAATCAGTATTAATGGAAAAAAAACATCTGTTCCACATTACCAATCTAGATAACAGCAAAGTGGCCACAATACAGATTGTACCCGCTATACACCTGCATGAAATCCCCAAGTCAAAATTCCAATTATTGCTCCAAGTTAGTCATATGTCCTTCAGACGTAACTTCATTTTCATGTCCTGCACAGCATCTCTGTGACGTGCCCATCCTGCTGTGCAAAGATACTGCACCTCAGCCCTACAGCCTCTCAGATGCACTTATTGATCATTGATACAGATTGTCACCTAGGGCTTAGCTGTTGTAAACCGCAGATCTGGAATGAACCTGTACAATGCCTCGCCAGTGCTCCACCTGCGTGACAGAGATGTTACCTGTTCTGGGAAGGCTGTAGGGACGATGCTACCTTGTCCTCGCAGAACTTCCGCATGGCCAGGGTGCTGAGCGCCTGGTCCGCACTGTGGAGAGAAAGAGGTGTTCAGGTCAGCTTGCGTGCTGCTCAGCAGCACAGGAACACAGGACCCGCGTGTTACACGCTCGCTCCCCTCGCCCAATTTCTGAACAAAACACCACACGTTTTGTGGTTTAACACATTGAACGTCATGTTAAACCCATGAGAAAAACAGTAAAACGGGGAAGATTCTCTGGGACTTCTTGGACAAGTAAAACATAATATTTCTGAATAAAAGCTGTTGGATGCTTAGAACAATCATGGAGAGTTTGGGTGGAATGTACAAAGTGCACATCTAATAAAGGTACTTCGTGCAACAACCTTTAACCCCAGGGACACTTAAGGGCAAAACTAAAGGATCAAAGATAAGGTGTTCTTTACAACTTGCCATAGGGCTTCGAATGTTATAGGATTTTCTGCAGGAAAACACGCTGGATTTTCTCTTTGTGTGGCACACCTCTCACAATGGAAGAGCTACCTCAGGCTCCCACAGGTGGGCTGTTCATTGCCTGCTTGTCTGTCTCCATTTCACAGCTTCAAAGTAGAGTTCCTGCATTTAGTACAGCACATTCCTGATCACTCCTAATAACTCGTAAGAAAAGCTGCACAATTCCAGCCTGCATTCAGGGAGCCCGTCCTGAACTTCCAAACAAAAGCTGCCATGAGAAGAGGGAAAGAGCAGGACTTACCCAGCAGAGATCTTGCTGTAGTGCATGTAAGCAGCAACGATTACTCCTGTTTTGCCTTTATTACCCTAAAAATAACAAAAGGATAAGAACAACCGTCAAGATTTATCCTGCACAAACAGACCAAAGTGTCAAATCTGGTACTGGAAGATCTCCAATAAAGAAAATAAGGTGAAGTCACCATTTAACCGCACTGAACCTCCTGTCTGCAAACTACAGTAAACTAATACTTGCTTCATTAATATAACAAGCACTTTTTTTCCCAGCATTACAAACAGAATCTGCAATCACTCACTAAAGATGGATTAGAGCATTATTGTCCTCTCAGATTACAAAGCATTGACAAGCGACGTGTACCACTGTTTTTCAAAACAAATGCCAGCTGAGCACATCTGCCCCTTGCACCTGGTGCAAGAAAATCCCACTGGCTCTCAGTGCTGTCCATCATTTGACAGGCCAATCCCCTGCCCCGCCTCCATCACCTTGCAATGCAGCACCACCACATGCTGAGGGTCTGAGCTCAGCCAGGTCTCCATGGCCTTGCAGATGGCGCAGATCTTATCCAGGGGGGGTGCGTGGAGGTCTGGCCAGCCGAACTCGTGGACCTGAGAGCAAAGAGAGCAAAGAGAGAGGAGGATTACACTGAAAAAGTTTGCTATGCTTTCCAAAATACATACAAATACTTCCGGGGGCACAGAGCCTACTGAAATCAACACTTTCTACTAAGAAAGCATCTTTAATCGCATCCAAGGAGTCAAAAGCAAAATGAGTGCAGATGCATAGGAGGAACACGATACATGATTAGGTTAGTTCCCCAGTGTCTGACAGTGGTATTACCTGGCAGTCACACTGGTTTTACACAGGAAAACCCTTGGACAGGATTTTTCACTCTTCAACATGCTCAAGCAGCCCTAACAATTTTACAGATGATGCCACAGATTTCATTTAGGATCACTTTGATTTGATTCCTTTTGTTTTTCCTTAATTATTAAAGTAATTCTTGGTAAGAGGAAGTCACTGATGGTTATAGGCATCCTATGAAAAATGGAAATAAAACTCATACTGCAGAGCAGTTCAAGCTTTCTCGCTGTTCATGAAAATTTACTTTTGCATAAACCTTTCTAGACAAGCAAAGAATATACACAAAGACACACTCCGATTAATTTATTTGACTGAAACCGTTGTCCAAAGAGGCTGTAAATTCACACCCATTTATAAAGCTGGGTATTTCACTGGAGCTATTCAGGTGAAGGGCCTTGCTCAAGGTTACAACAGCAGTGTCTAACCTGGAATTCAAACCCACAACCAGAAGGACATGTACCCAGAACACTAGCCACTGCACCCCACTGCTGCTTATTTATTCTGCCTTTCGTTCGCATTAAAAATTTGTACTCTAATGAGGTACAATGCATGAAACATATTGTACTTGATACCAGCTACAGTTTAAACAGGTGGATGTTTTACCATTTAAGCGAATGACGCCAAACAGCAGTGCAATAGGTATCCAATTTCCACCACTGAAAAACTAATGGACAATGCGAGGATGGGAAAACAAATGCAGACTACCAAGCAAGAGCAGGGCACCGAGACCAGCACCTCAGTGCCCAGCCCAGGCTGTGCTGGTCTCCTACCTTGGGGTTGAGCCTGGTGATGTCGTGCCTCCTCTCCGACAGGTTGAAGAGCTGGAAGAGAAGAGCGCGGTCAGCACGGTTCCCACCCCTGCCGGCACTGCAGATGCAAACTCTCTGTACCGTTCATTCCATCAGGTCACAACCATGTGTGAAGACACTGCACGGGCATTTCCAGCCTTTACAATGTCCTTCGACCAGGAAGAGAGAAAGGGGCACCACAAACCTAATTTATCGCAACTTTATTCAGCGCCCAATTGCTCGCAGATCCTCTGCGAGTGAATCTACACTGACGTTCTCCGCCAGTTTGAGAACAGAAACATCCATCCAACCATTTTCTAACTGCATCTTCCAATACTGGGTCATGGAGGAATCAGAGCTCACCAGGGGCAGTTTTTCCAGGTGTCAATGAACCTACCAGCATGTCTCTGAACTGTGACAGGAAACCTGGAGCACCTGGAGAAAACCCATGCGACACAGGGAGAATATACAAACCCCACACACATAGCAGCCCAGGTCCAGAACTGAACCCAGGGTAACCACTGCGCCGCTGTGCCACCCAGGATAAAAACGTACGAAGAAAGACCCTTCCACTGACCAGGAACTTGTCCTCATGCTTGGACTTGAGCATGGCCGTCACTTCCTTGAGGTTGCCGCGGTAACGCTGCTCCTCCAGCAGGGGCGGGAAGAAGACGGAGATGATGCGCTCGGTGATGTAGGTGAGGTCGAAGTCGTAGTGCTTCTCCATCACTCTGTCCATCACGCGGTCCAGGCTGAAGCTCCTTCCGGCGCAGAGCAGGCAGGGGCAGAAAGAAATAAGAGGCAGGGTCAGAGAAGGCCAGGAGGACACAAGAACAGGGAGGGGAGGGGGAGATCTGCAGAGGCAGCCATACCTGGGGAGGGTGCTCCTCTGCTTGGTGTAGGTCAAAGACTTGGTGGAGCCCTGGGGAAGCAAGATGACACGTTAAACCGTGCTCTCACTCGGGATCTTCAGTTCCCCTCAAGAAGCTCTTTTGTCAGAATTCTGCAGGAAACTCAGAAAACCGTCGTCTCCTCTTAACTCCAGCTGTGGGGTTTCGATTTGAGGGAGAGTGCCAGGGGCTGTGTAGCCAACATGGCCTGCTGTACTGCCGTGCCTCACATGGGCACAAACTGCGCAAGTACTGCACTGACAGGAAAGGGAGAGAGGGAGAGGGGGCGCTGGAGAGACGAGGGAGAGAGGCGGGAGGTGGGATGCGAGAGGCAATCACGATGAAAACGAGAAAGAAGGAGACAGACCGAGGTGAGGGATTGGAGGAGGGACAGCAGGGAAAGAAGTGAGAGATGGCCTAAGGGTGAGAGAAAAGACCAGAGACCGAGAAGAGAGTTACTCACCAGGGGCTGAATGTGACGGGAGGGAGCTGTTCCTCGCCTCTGCTGTGGGGAGAGAGAACGAGTGAACGAGGAAGGGAGGGAGGGAGAGAACGGAGAAGGTCGCACCACCCAGAAAAATACAGCACCGCTTCAGTGGTGTAAAACTGGCCGAGGCACAATGGCTCTACTGTGCTGGGTAGCAGTTTCATGGAAACTACGTGTTGCTGTGCCTTGGACTCATATACAAGTCTTTTATACATAATTGGAAAATGGGTAAAATTGGCCCAATTAACCAATGACATCACTGGCTCAGAGGCAGTGAAATCCAGCAGAGTCCCACAGACATTTTTCTTTTGCAACTTTTATGAGAGAAACTGACCAGTCTTTTTCATCACTTGTCTCAGACCAGCTGGGTCATGTGGGAGTCAAAAATTAGGAGTTGCACAAGCTGTAATCAGAAATGAAACTTTTTACATAAAACTTTATGACGAGGAAAAGTTTCTTCCAGCTGTAAAAAAGTACCCCAGCTGTATTACAAAATCAGTTTCTGCAAAGTAGCACTGTTAAAAAAAAAATCCCACACAGAAGAATTCAATCATTACAATGCTAATTCCTGCACCGGGCTGTAACTCAAGATTGGGATTCTGGCCTTCATCATTAACAAGGCACATTGCTTGTTCTTCAGGAGGGCATAAACTCCCATGGTTTAGCTGTTCAATCCATTGCTGTTTTTAACATACACACTGCAGGCCCCCTGACCAAAGTGAACCGATGAAGCGAAGAAAAGGAAACATTTTTATTAACAGAACTTCGTGTCTGTCCTTGCAAATTCACCCAAAATAAGGTATGGAGCAGGGGAATATTGCCTGCTTGGTGCCGACTCCCATACGGGACCCTGGAGCTTTGTAAAACGTGACGTGGATCATTCATGCAGCCGGGGTCTTATTTCCACGGCTGTAAACGCGAGTGTTTCTGACTGGCTCTCACCCTCTGACAGAAATAGCAGAACCCCCCCTTCCTTTGTTGATGTGTTGAGAGGTGAAAGAGACCGCAGAACTCCCTTTGAACCGACACCACACTTCGCTCCCCAATAAACAAGAGCAGGGCCAGCCGAGACTTGAAAGGATCTGCCTGTGTCATCCAAATCATTCCTCCGATTTCATTTCTTGGCAGTGGGCGAGCCTGTTGTTTGTCTTCCGAGTCTTGTTAATCGCTCTGGGATTTCAAACTGGCTGATCTGGGCTGCTGTACTGGCAAAGGGGATTTCTGAGACTCGGAGACTTACCAGGTCAGAGGGCGGTGCTGGCACGCAAGCGGTCGTCACCTGAAAGAGAGGAAAACAAAGGGTACATTTTTTTAATACTTAAATATAAAAAACAATATAAAAAAGTACCTGGGAGTGCACATCGACGATAGACTGGAATGGTCTAAGAACATCGAGGCCATTTACAAGAAGGGTCAGAGCCAAATTTAGTTCTTGAGGAGAATCAGGTCCTTCAATGTGTGTAGTAAGATGCTACATGTGTTCTATCAGTCGGTGGTGGCAAGCGCCATTTTCTACGCGGTGGTATGCTGGGGCTCTGGGATTAGAGCAGGGGATTCTAACAGGCTGAACAAGCTCATCAGGAGAGCAAGCTCTGTCATTGGGCCTGGCCTGGACCCTCTGGAGCTAGTGGCTGAGAGGAGAATGGTGTCCAAACTTGACGCCATTATGGACAACGTCTCCCATCCCCTCTATGAAAGGCTTGTAGAAATGAAGAGCGCGTTCAGCAATAGTCTGATCCATCCACGGTGCGACAGGGAGCGCTACAGGAGGTCATTCTTGCCTTCTGCCATCAGACTGTACAACGCATCCACCTTGAGTCTGGGCAGAGGCAACAATGACAGTGACCTGTTTCTGGACTGAACAGTAAACTGATACATCTGTTCTTTTTTCTTTTCCCGTTTAAAGCCGTTTTTGTACAATATATGCCACGGACCTGTGCAATAAATTAATATTTATATTTATATTGTGCAATATGACTTTTTTGTGTACTGTTCTGTTCTGGTTTGTGTTCTAGACTGTGAGTAACTCTTCTTAGTGCACATCTCACTGTACTGATTGTATTGTATGTATTGTATTATTATTATTGTATCATGCGTTACACTGTGTCTGTGTTGTCTGTGTTAAGCTGCTGTTGCACTGCAATTTCCCTCACGGGATCAATAAAGTATCTATCTGTCTATATGACAACCACCACCCAGCCGCCCACTAAGGGACTATAGTTGTGAGCTAGCTAAACACACTGCTGGCTGGGCTGGAGGCCCCAGCACCACCAGCCCAGCCGGCCCCCCACGGCCCAGCCCAGCACCGGGCCACCAGACCCGAACCGGCACCCCACGGCCCAGCCCAGCACCGGGCCACCAGACCCGAACCGGCACCCCA